ACGAAAACGTATCGCCAGATATGCGTTTTTAAACGATACGATAACGTTAGTGTGGACCACAGGCTTTTGATGCACAAAAAAGAGGATTTTGAAAAACCAGCAGGAGCAGGTACAGAGCCCGTACATTAAACTCTTTCGGCCAGAATTAGTACTAAGTTTCTCTCCCGATTATTTCATGGGCAGATCTAGGGGTGGGGCCGAAGGGACCTCCGTCCCCCGTTTTCTGAGACATTTTCTATTATTCAGCCCCTTTCTGTTCTGGTTCCGCCCTTTAATTTTTCGTTTGGTTCACCTTAGTACGTTTAGAATTTTACGTAGTGGTTTCAGTTCATGGTAATAAGAATGCGGCCTATAACAGTCTCGCATTCCCTATTCGGAGGAGGCAGCGTGGCCGAGCGGTGAGAGCGCTGGACTTGCAATTCGGAAGCCTCGAGTTCAAGTCCCACTCCGAACCGCTAGCTGGATTTGTTCACGGTAGTCCCGAGGTCAAATGCTCAACCACGCTGGTAAATAGCCCGCTGGTTTGCCTCCGGCTAGTTGGGATTCTTAACCACTTTCTCTCTTGCCACTTTATGTTTGATTTAAATTATTTGTTTCAAGTCATTTGCTCGGCCCACTAGCATAGGTGTTATAAATACTGCCGTGGGTAAATAAAGAAATTATCATTATTATTATTATTATTATTATTATTATTATTATTATTATTATTATTATCATTATTATTCGAGCCCTTCAGCTTTGTCAAGTTTACCTTGGCTAAATTAATGATTAACTGGGTAGCAAGAGAAGAAAACTGAACTGACAACAAACCTGAAAACAACTTCTTGATCTCCATTCGAAACTTTGGGCTACAGAACACGTAGCAGATGACATTTGTAACGCAAGGAATGCACTCTATCAAGTCTCCAAGATAACCCACGAAGAATGAAGGCGTGTACAGACGAAGTGACTGTAGAATTACCAAGATGGACGAAGGAAGAGTGCACACGGCGAATACCACAGCAATAACGACAAAAACCTTGAGGGACTTCTTGACAAACAACAGGACCTGTTTGCTGTGGACTGCGTTACTGATTCGTCGGTTTATCTTGTGGTACGCAATGGTGTAAGCGATAAGTTCTACCACAAGGGGTAGAATGTAAGTGGCAATTGTCACAGCCAATCTGTACCCTGGTGCCCATTTCTCGGGGTCACACGCCACAAAGAGCACACCCATTCGAAGGATCAGAGAGGTGATTGAAACGCTTGCACAAGCCTGAAAAAGATGATACTAAATTGAACTTTCTTTTGAAATGAAGCGAACGATGACAGGTTAATATGATCAATATCTGAAAACAAATTTAGGTTAAAGTTAAAGTTACTATTTACAATTAAGATTCGTGGAAGATTAAGTTAATCCTTTTTGGAACTCGACGAATTGATATTTCTATTTAGCCCTCATGCACCATCCTAGCTGCCGCTATCAATTTTGCAAATGACCCATAAATGAAGAACGTTCATTATGTTTTTCGTCGTACCCGCCTACCTTTTCCTTGACTCTAGCAACTTTTCTTATGGTATAGCACAGGGATGGTGAACATACAGCCGTTGAACGTTCCAAGCTGATCAGCATTAAAGACAGCGAAGACGCAAACCTGGCAGCTCCCTCCACGTACAACAGAACTTTGCAGGTGATGCGATTCAGCTCGATGTCCAGATTCTTTATAGCAACTATAGAGCAGGTGACACACAAGTACAGGACATCCGCTGCGGCCATCTGAACGATGAGATAAGTGCTGAGGTCGCGGAAATGTTTGTTTCTAAGGAACACTGTAAACAGGAACGCGTTTGTAACAAGGGACGTCACAAATATGCAGGCATAGAAGCCGGTGACCACGTGCTCCAACAATCTCTCCTCCTGAGGAGCCCTTGAAATCAAAAATCCCTTCATGTCTGATATGGAAAAGATCAGTGAGTAAATAAAAGATGCCATGATTGATTTTTCGATGCTTACCATTTAAGTGGGAAATTAGAAATCCCGTTGGTGTCATCCTGTTTAAAAACTTCAGCGTTTTGAGGCTTAGCCTGTTCACAGTCCCTCTATTTTCTCTTCAAAGTCCGTCGAGCGCGGGTGAAAAGAAAAGAACGAAAAGAGAAATAATACAGCGTCTGTGTACAGGCTATTTGAGGCTAAGCTGTACTCTCTTTTGGTCTTCGACTGATTTCGCTAACCACAGGAGGTCCAAACGCGGTGGGAGTTCGTTAGACTTGAATTTATAAGAGAATGTTTGAAAATAAACAAACTACGTCGTTGTTGTCTCTTGGCCTCTAGTGCCATTTGGAAGCCGTTTTATCGACGTTTAATATAAGATTTTGACATGGTACTTCTTTGGAGGCGAAGGGACAGTAAAAAAAAAAACAAAACAAACACAAGGTCAGTCATTTGTATTTCTATTTTTGTCAAGAAATGGAATTTAGGACGTATTTTGTTTATTTTCATACATTTTCTTATAAATTCAAAGTCCAACGAACTCCCACAGAGTTTGGGCCGCCTGTGTTCTAACAATATACAGGGTTTCCCAAAAGTTCGTTCCTGTACTTTATAAGTCTGTATTTCAGTACGATTGGACTTGGTAAGCAAATCATTTAGTCAAAAGTTGTGTCTTTCAATCTAATTCACTATATTCGTACTTGTTGTGTCATCGTTTGACTCGAATATTCGATTTGTGTACTTCCGCGCCAAAGGTGCGCGTGCGCGCCGGTATGTTTTCCAGCCACATATTTTATAGCCCGAATTGCTGGAACTCCTTCCTTATTTTTTTGCTGAATATCAGGAAAGATAACCCCCCTTAACGCAAAAAAACGTTCATCTACGTGTGAGCATGTACACTTCTATTTACTGTCTTATCTGTTGTAGAAACTGCTAAAAATCTGGAAAAATCCGAATGTTGGTGGTAAAATGATCATGGAAAAATGAAACTTTTGAAGGCAAGAAACGAAGGGTAAGACCAAAGTCCTGAATAAAGCAGCTAAAATAGTGTTAACGTAGGATAGATACAAAATAGGAGACTCGATGAGGAAGCTCTCACTTAATTAGCAAGTCAAGTCCAGAAAGGATCATGCATGAAAAGCGAATGCTTAAAATTAGCCCCTGAGATGGCAAAAAAACAGGGGCACCCAACATCAATTTTCGGAAAATATCTGTTCGGAAGACGATTTCAGATCTAAAATTTTCGGAACATTTGTTGTAAAATTTCTTGCTTCCCTCTCTCTCCTAAGATTTTCAAACATCCAAAAATGGTATAATTGCCCATTTTTAACGGATTTTTACCCTAAAAAGGTCACCTAGAATTTTCGGGAGCCTTTTTTTCTGGCTGAAATTTTCGAAAAGGTCAGTTTTGACCCCTAGAATTTTCGGATCACTAGACTTTCAGCTAGGAAATCCGAACAGATGAAAAATTTTTAAGGGATAAAAATATGCCTATATCTACCGTTTAAATACTAAAATACGTTTAACAATGTTATGTTTAGGTGGTTTTGAACTATTTTCTCGTTGGGTGCCCTTGAAAAAAACCCGGTCTGCTTAGTCTGCCAAGTGACGCCCAGCTCGTCTCAAATTTGTAAAGAAGTACAAAAGCCTTGCTGTGGAAAGGGGCCGGGATGATTATCTTTTTTGGATGAATGCCCAAAATATATTTTTTTCAGATGCCTAAACTAACAAATATTGTTTGGCGGTTGAACTGGCTCCTACGCACCGGGTGATAGAAAAGTTCAAAATGGATCATCTGTAGCTCTGTACGCTGTATCCCACTCCATGCTGCAACGGCTACAGAATGTGATAAAAAACAAAAAGGGCATGCCAGTTACTGAAATTCTGAATAGATGTACTCGATAGAGAAATAAACATCTTCTAGCAATTTCATGTAAAAATAAAGTTTTGATCAAAAGTTATAATGTATGAAATTAGAGGAACAAACTTTTGGGACACCCTGTAGTTCGTTTTTCTCCCACTGAACGTCAAAGAAAATCGTTGAATGAAGGTTAAATCGCGAGATTTTTGACCCTAATTGTAAGTACCCCTTGTCAACCTCTTATAATCTACCTGAACCTTTAAAAGAGTGTGGCGATTGCAGATGAGAGGTCTACATTTATGTCACCAACATTGTTTTCCAAAAAATCTTATGCCGTATTCTTGATCGTAGTTTTATAAAAAATTTCTTTCTTCAATTGGAATAAATCAGGGTCATTAAATGACGTCTCTTGTCTTTAATAAACAGGGTACCTTTATCCGAACTTCCCTTGACTGCCTCCCCGGGCTGCTTTTTCACTCAAAGATATTGCGAAAGATATTCACTATCGTCGATCGTCAAATTTACACAGAAGTTAACTGCCATAGGAGGTTTTGGCACCCTTTCAAGTCATGATACAAATTTAACCAGTTTAACAGCAACAATGAACGGGAAAGGTGGTTGGGTAGTAAGCCAAATGAATAGGCTAATAATGTAGGTCCAGTGACTAGAGTCAGTGTAGGCAATGCGGCGAAGCATAGTTCGTTACTTCTCAGAGTTTGTACTCGGCACAGTAAAAAGGGTTGAGTTCTTGTGATATGTTCTTAAACACTCACGGCGTCATGATTTCTATTTGTTTTTTACTATGCTGTATTTGTAGTAGTAGCTGTTTGGAGACAACCCAATTTTTAGTGAAAATAGCCTCTCATTAATTTTTTAGCCGTTATCTTAGTAAGAATAATCATTCTGATATTTCAGTTTACGATACTACTTATGCAGGCAGAACTGTGCACTGTTTTTGTAGTCAAATGCTTAAGTTATCTATTGCATGGAAAACAGAAAAGAAACATTTCCAAGATAATGGTGAGCAAAACAAGCGAATACCCAATACACCACAACGACACATTCAACCGTTTGTACTGTGGCGTACTCGGCATTCAGGTTCTTTAAACAACCTAGCAGTTTGACTTCGTTTTCATTTAGAGGTACATGTATGATTCGGCGATTGGTTAGATAGATCTTTTTTTCAGTCACGGAAAATGAACGTCATCACAGCTAGAATATTGGTATAAAGACAGCACCGTAAAAAGAGAAAATGAACCTAGAAATAATAAGAACGCTTGCCAGGCCGTATATATTCACTCATTTTTGAAGTCCTTTCTCGTGCCGTGCAAGGTTCAAATACTGAAAATATTTTTCTGCTCAAAAGTTCCCGCGTCGAGCGGATTTTTTTTGGGCGTTTATTATTTCAACATTTTAATTGTAGATATTGTAAAGCGCTGTTGAATTTCAAGAAACAGCGCTATATAAGGTTATATATTATTGTATACGGTGTTGAGGAGGGTTGAGTATCACTTTGCTGTTGACGAAATGAAAAAATTTTGTGAAATAGAATAAATGTGTAAAAACAATTCAGGTTTAACTAAATATTGAAACTTAGTCAATACTTCAAAGGATGCGTTAAAGATCAACATTTGTAATTTATTTTTTCTTTTCTTTTTCTTTCGATCCACACTAATGCTAAACGAAACATGACAAATCGTGAGTACAATCAGTCATAAAATTTTTGTAAGTTATTGTAACTGAACAGTTTTATCTTACCTTGTTTGCCCCAATATCGGTCAAGAACAAACTGATTTTTGCTGGATACTTTCTGAATAAAAAAAACGCAGCCAACACCTTACTGGTATTAACCTTACTTGAAGAAAAAGAACAAGTAGAACAATTAAAATCCAAAAGCGGTTTTCCGCGCGGTAAGGTAAGGCCCAGCTGGCCAATCAGAATGTTCCCAACTTGAAGGCGGCAACCTTACACGATTCCAGCTTGGACGGTAAATATGGGTGGAGCCTTGTGTCCTAATTTGCATTGACGTGCAGGAAACTCGATTGAATGGGGAAACTGATTAATTATTTCAACAATAACCTTTAAAAGCTACAACCTGGAACGAGGAAAGCCTAGAATACAACAACCTTTAAAAGCTACAACCTGGAACGAGGAAAGCCTAGAATACGTTGGTCTTTGGACATGAAACTGGAATTGTGGAACTGGAACAACATGGAATGGAGCCATATTAGAAAGATTTAGAATCACTTTCACCAACAAACAGTCACTAAGTTTCCCCTTTTCTTCTCCTTTGCTTTTCATATGTCTACACAAAAATAAGTAGATTCAAGAAAGGTTTATACAGAAAAATTACTTCGGGCAGTTTTTATCCACTCGTTTCCAAATTTGAGAAATTGTCAACTTGAGTCTTACGTTTGCCGCAAACGTGATTCCAAATCTATTATCATGTTCCCTTGAAACGGGAAACCGAAGAACGAATACTACTTGATTAGCTGAGTAGCAGCGCCAAAAAAGGCGATCGGAAACAGACTGGGACTACCCTTACGTTACCCCAGCACCCTTGCACATTTCATCTTATTTCACGGGCCGTGTTTACTAGGGGTGTACAGTCGTTTCACTGCATAATGAAGTCGATTCGCCGCAAAGTTGTAATCGTCGTTTCGCTGCATACTAAAGCAAATTGCCTTTCGTGATAAAAGTCAAGCCTCTTCATACCTTGAGTTTCTGTTGCTGATAAACATAAACAGTAAGTAACCATAATTCCTAGTTCATCCACCAAAATGGTAATTAACCCGTTAGTATTACCCGTTTGTAGTTCATTCTAAGTTTCTTTAAAACGGTTTTGTGCAAAAAGTCAATTGCAACGAATCGACTTTGTAGCGAATGGACTTCATTATGCAGCGAAACGACCGGTTATTAGGCAGATAGGGCGGGTGGAGCTGTTTTTCTGTACATGCGTAAAAAAAAATATTTTGGGACGTATTGTCTCTTAGGCCTTTTTTAAACATTCTGGGCAAGTTAACAATGAAAGAGATTTTAAACGGTGTTTAACAAAACCGCTTTGAATAATAAGGGGCGGGGGGAAGGGGATGTTAAAACTGAGAAGATATGTACATAATTTTAAAGGGCCCTTTCTATTCAACCCAAAATTCCGGACATTTCGGTTGGTAAATCAAATGCAACGGACCATTTTGGTTTGGTCCGACCGGAATATTCGGGACCAGCTTTGAAGGTGGTCCACTTTGACCGGTTCGGTTATCTCGGTCGGTCGGACCGAAATGTCCCGTTTTATTTGAAAAAATTTTTGTCCCCAGTACCGCTCTTTTGTATCTTGCTTACAAGAACAATAACCAAACGGGTGGTGGCTTGGGTCAGGTCTGTGCAAACGGAATGTACCGTCCCATTGGGCATGCACATGGAATTTCCGAAATTTTAAACCAGAATTTTGTTGAATGGAAAGCCCCCAAAAACTCACCCTGGAAAACGATTCAGCATTTAGCTAAAATTACCAACTCAACTACAGTTAAACCTCCTTAATTTACAAAGGACACACCCAACTGCCCATAAACTAGAGGTAAGGTGTCTTTGTCATAGGGGTAGGAATTAAATGAAGTTTGGTATCCTTGGGACACACATAACAGTCCGTAATAAAGAGGTGACTGTACTATGGAGTTGTCTGCACTGCACTTCGAAACAGGAATCACTTTGATGACAAAATATAAACACATCTGAAACTAAATGAATTTATAGACCTTATCTCTCTAAATCTAACTCAAGAATAAACTTAAATGAAGTGATCCTGGGGACACTAAGGTTAATATAATTGGTCAATGGTGAAAGTGGGCATGGGGACAGAGAGTTGCAGTCTTTAACCACCATAGCTTTCATCTAAATCATGGCTTCACAGCAGTGGCCACAGGGGAACAATCAGGAGATGGTGTGTCCAGAGACCTGGCTGTCAGCACGACCATCTTGCTACTCTCTAGCAAAGCACCTCTGTCACAGAAGCTGTTGTCTCTGAGGTTAGTATAGAAAGAACTCTTTGGACCAGGGTGGCGCCTGTAATAGGAGTTATCCGTTTGTGAGGGGGTGTTCCTTGTTGGATTGGCTTCAGTGTTTGTTCCTTGATGCTTGACAGGAGTAAGGTACTTGGCCATTTTCCTGGATGAAGTCTTCATTGTTTTTTCAAAAGCTTCTCCACGGAAGCTTTGTATGGCTTCCAAACGAGCTCTCTCCAGGCGTGTCAGTGGTCTTGGTTCTACAGATGTCGTATTGCTGATTTGTGTGTTGCTTGACTGACTAAAGGACTGATGTAAACTGTGCTCAGGGATTGGACTCATTCCTTTTGTACCAATTTGAGCATCACAGGACTGATTGTGGACGAGTGTACAGGAATCATGATCCTGAACTTGAACCTCACAAGTGATTGTTTGGCTTGACTGGGAATGTTCAGCAAGCTGCTCATTGTCAAACGGGACATTGCCTTGCATTGATTCATTAACAGATTCGCAACATGGTTTTAATGAAATTTCAGCAACTTTCTCCTTTGATGCTGAAGTCAAATTACCAGTTCCCTTTTCGCCATCCTCCAGGGAATCAGTCTCTACATCAGTTTCCACAGCTGTTTGACATTCACTATTATCCATCACCTGACTTTCTTCCTTTGTTGCCACACCCTCATTGTTAGTCTCAACTTCATCATTAACAATTTGCTCAGATACTTCAGCACAAGTGGACATATCTCTCTTGCAAGATTTCCAGACATCATCCAGGCTGTGTCCTCCAAAACTCTGCAGAACCTCTAACTGAGCAGCTTGAACCCTGGTTAGACGTTTGCCTTTTGTGGAGCTTCTTCGTCGCATTGCAGCAAAACTTCTTCGTGATGTTGATCTCCTTGTAGACTTCCTTCTTCCTTTTTTACTCTTTTCCAAGGAATCTTTTTTAAGACTTGTCACATCTTTTTTGGAAGTTTCACTGTTATTCGTTCCTGAGTCCTTGGCCATTATTTTAGTGCTGTTCTGGTCTTCTTTTATCTCCACACTTCCTCCAATCCCACTCAGAGCAACATTACCAAAAGCATTTTGCACTTCAAGTTTGCATTTGTCCAACCTAGTAAGCCTTCTTTTAGTAGTATCTCTGAGAGGAGAAAACTCTCTTTTCCTCTCCTCAACACTGGCTTTCCGTTTCTGGCCAAGGGAAACGTTCTTGAAAGCTTCGTTGGCTTCCAACCTGGCTTTTTGCATTCTGGAAGGAAAATGATGAAAGAAGCAAAATATATTGGGGGGACAAAAAATGCATTATAGTTTTTGGAGTTTTAGGGTTGTAAAGGCAGAATAGGGTGACATTGGATTAGCCATTCTAGAGTGTGAAAATTCTTTTAGCCATTTGGGAATCTGTTATTTTACAGGCCTAAGTTCATCTGGGCAAAGGTTTTGAATTACAGAAAATTTAGAGACAGATATAGATTATGTTTTAAAAAAAAATTAATAATCAATGTATTTAGAATTATTATCATAATTATTATTTCTTAGAATTATTCTATAAGAAGCCCAGATGCTCTGATCCCATGAATTCAGGATGCCCAACATAAAGGTAGAGAGCAAAGATTAACATTTCCTAGTTACCTAAAGGTAAAAGTAAGTGATCACCATTGGCCAATGCAAGAGCACAGCAATGTAAGTAAGGGCAGGAAAGCACGCTGTACACATTGTGTTTGCTAATACTGACTTTATACAGAACCGGACTCACTAACAACATACACTTGTGGACATGACCTACAACATCAAAACCGCTAGTATTTGATGATCCACAAATTCCAGCCAGCTGAAATTTATGCAACATATCCCCTGGGCATAGCGCACACTGTATTTTTCATTTGGGGCCCAAACCAGTCCAAATCTTTCATCTGAGCACCATAAATGTTTGCTGCTTTAGGTAAAGCCAATGGAATTTGCAAAAGAAGACACACAGCAGTTTTATTAGATGGCAGCTCCTAGCGGAGTTCAGAGATTAAATTTAACTTAAACTTCCTTTGTGTAAGAATTTTTACAAGCAACTTCCAACACTTTCGGATTTGGTTTGTTTTCACTTGTTAGCATCTGTTCAAATTGATGATTAACCTCTCCAACTTATTTAGGACCTTAAAACATTAGGAGTGCTTTAACTTAACTGCTTCTTGGGTCAATTAGATCTCTTACCGAGTAAGTCTCTTGGTCACATCCTTTCCAGTAGCTGTGACAGTTGCATTAAGTTTTGCCTTAAAGCTATCTTTTTTGACAACCAGTGAATTAAAGGGACAATTGCCAAAGGAAGATAGGGCCTCAAGTCTTGCTCTCTCGACCTGTTAGTAGTAATAAAGTAAACTAAGTTGTCAAGTCAAACATTCAAAGGAAGTGAATAGTTGGGTACTATGAAAGAGGCTTATTACATGAAAATCTTGGTAGATATTTCAACACAAATCAACTTGGCAATTGCATAACAACTTAGCCGGTACCTCCGCTGAGATCTCAGTTCACAATAAAACTGTAAACTGGCACTAATAAGCCCCCTCCCCCCCCAGTTATTAGCCCATCATCCTGTAAACAAAAAATTGCATGTGATTGTGAGTCCCCCTGGGATGAAAGACCCCTCCAGCTCCAACTATAAACCCCCACCCTCCTCTAAATTTGATTTACTAATGTTTTCAAGCCAGTAAATGCAACAGGTGTTTTGATCAGAACTGCTATAGCTAATTTAAAGCGTTTTTTCTATTTCAGTTACCAGCTCTCTGGAATATAAGCCCCTCCATTAATTTATGATCCCTGCTAAAACCCTTTACAAAGATATATAAGCCCAGGACTTATAAGTATCAGTTTACGGTACAATCTAAGCTTGTCAGGCTGAAAATTTTTAAAGTAATTCACATTACCATAATCATGCTTACTCTCAGCAGTACTTCAATAATAATAATAAAACTATTATTATTATTATTTGTAATTTTTAATAATTTTACTAGTATAGGTAATAGCATGATTTGTAGTGATATTTGGCATAAATACCACAAGTGATATTTTTATTTATGCCAAATATCACATAAAAAATCATGCTATTATTTGTTTATACTACTACCCACAAAAGGTTTGTAATTTTCACATGTAGGTATTTCAAAGTAAGCTGAAACACCACTGCTCTAAGCCAATCAAATTGCAGAAATTTCTCATGTAGTAGTATAATATTGTTATTATTATTTTTCCTTACGCTAGTAATGCAGGTAGTGAATGAAATACCTCTAGGGTGATAGTGAAAAGAGGCGAATTATAATAGGAGACCGGAATAGGATAATGCATATATGAAGGTTGTCACTAAATTAAGTAAAATTATGTGTGTTTATTGTTAGTAACCATACCCACCTTTGTAACTCTTTTCGATGGTTCTCTCACGTTATCAGGAGCAACATTTTCTTGAAACACCGTAGATTTTTCTACGGAAAAAATTAAACTTATAACAATCCAACCATACAGCTGGGTGTTTTAAGAAAGAGTACTTCGTCTACATGAACTACATGCATGGTACATGTACTTTGTACTAGCTCTTTTCCAGCGAGTGTCTAATTGATAATTTAAGCTTCGTTGTTAATACTTTCAATTTACGTAATTTTGTTTCGAATACCTTTTAACAGCTGTACTAAAATTATAAAAAAATTACCAGATCGGTCTGAGCTTCACGAGTTCATGCAGCGAAAACAAACAAGTGAAATGTTCCTACTGTAACTCCGACACTAACCCTAAGATATCTCGATACGATAAAAAGTTTTATGTCCCTCACCTTCTTCTAAGCATTTTATTACATCGGATGCCATGGTGTTATAGCAGAATGTGACCAGAGTTTTCGTCTTTCCAGGGTACAGCCTAAATCAAAATCCGTTAGTTTAAAAGTTTCCCTCCAAAATCAGACCTTATTGCGCATGACCACAAAGCCAAATTTGCAGTCCATAAGGACCGTGGGCTCATTAACTTCGCTGTGAATCCTGCAAGTTCGCTGCCGAAAAGATGGAAGCAACAGAAAATGTATTGAGTTTCTTCACTGCAAATCATTCACAGCACGATCCTCAGTGGAGAATGACAGGAGCGAACGTTTCGGTAGTCTGTGTGGCGTGCCTGGTAGAACTATTGGAAAGTAACGGCGTTTTTCATCTTCGTAAACGCAAGGTTCTCAGAGAGGTTGTGTTTCTGATGTCGAGCAGTCGACATCTTCTGGAGCTTCTTGCCCAAAATGCAAGAGTTACTTCTCATTTATGCAGCATAATCACGGATTTGTTGTCTTGTGAGAACGAATTATTGATGAGTACAGCAATCGAAACTTTGGATGTTATAACTGTACAGCTGCGGTCAGAAAATCTTGTGGCAGAAATTGTGGACAAGTTGACCACCCAGATATTACTATTGAACAATTTGAAGAAATCGTACCCGTTCGTTTTGGCTTTAGGAAGGCTGTTAAAATCCATTCCAGCGTTATCATTTGTAATTGTTAAGGATTCGCCAAATTTGGTGGAATACTTCCTTTCCAATATTCTGTTTCCCGAAGATAACATCAAAGCCGCGTTTCTTTTTGCTCTAGTGCAAATTTGCTCAAACGTGGACGCGTTAAATGTGTTAAGTTTCCAGACGAAGGAGAAGATTTGCATCCAAACTTGTGCTGTTGTTGCCAGCTGTATAGCCACAGACGTTCAAATGAACGCTCTTGGAGTCATAAAGAGGTTTTCAGCGGACTCCGATGTATTACACTCCATTCTAAAACCTTCCAGCACAGGTAATTGCCCCTTGCTGGAGAATTTAAAAAGGTTAATCCTATCACCAAACGAGGAGGTCCAAATAGGAGCTATACAATGTGTCACTCGGATTCTAAAAAACGATACCACAGAAAACGCCTTCACAAAAGCATTTCTGACGTCGGGCATAGGTGAGATGCTACTGGAAGATTTAGAATCTTCAAATGACATCGTTCTCGGTTCAGTATTTTGTAGCCTAGACTACATGGTGAGAACTCAGATATTCTACAGTGAGGGCTATTCGGTTTATGGCATTGAGTCTATTATTGTTGGTATATCAAAAGCAATAAAACTTAAGAACCCTGACATCATCAGACAAAGCCTGCGAGTGCTGTCACTGATTCTAATGATGCAACCTTCAAGTGTTCAACTGTTTCCAAGTGAGAAGCTCTGCAAACTTTGTGCTAATGTTCTGTACGAAAGTCTCAAGTCTGCAGACCACAGGATTCTTACTCAAGCTGCCTGTGCTGTCGAACAATTTTTGAGTATTGATCACTTCCCAGCGTCAATGGAGTTTGAGACAATTACTCCTCTTGTGTCAACTGTGATTTCTCATTTGCAGAAATTTACAAAACCAAAGATGCATTTTAGAAATGCTTCAAAAGGTGAGGCACGTTGATTTTTATCAACAATTCACCTTAATGGAAGTTAAATGTGAAAAATTGTCAAATAGATTCAAGTATGTTTGTTGCAACAATCACCGTACCTCCAGCCTGTTTTTTGAGCGCAGGGAAAATGCACATATCACTGTTCTTTTCCCTGTCAAGTTCCTTTTATCAGTGAAACCTGTTTTAGGCGGACAGCCAAGGGACCTTGGCTGGTGTCCACTTAATAGATGTGTCATACAGGTTTCACTGTATTTCGATTACACACTTGTTCCTTGTTGTTTACTATAATAAGGAACCAAAACGACAGAAGGTGATATGCAACCGATGGAAACATCTTTTATGAAAAAGAGAAGCAAACGATAAGTACCAAGTAACTGTACCATGCGACAGAGAAACATAAAGCCATACTCCCTCTATGAACAGCAATTACAATATTTTGTCTTAAAGAAGGACAACTTTGACAGTTGGACCTATAACGCTAACCAAAACGCACCATAAACAAAAGAACTGTTTCAAGGGTCCCACCTCTCTTAACTGGCCATCCACGACAAACTTGTTGAGATACTTTCGTCAACCGAGGAAAACAAAAATATCTGGACCCTTCCCTCCAACCAAAGTTGTCTTTTTTTCCGACATGTATCTTGAACAGTGCTACATAAGTTTTTCGAGGGATTGTTGGAGGGAAGGCTTGCTGTTTCCTTTTCAGGAAGTAGGGAAAAGTCATGAAAACGCACGAAATGTCGCTGAGAAAAAAGTTCCAACTAATTTTGTCGCTGGTCATTTGTTCTTCTAGAGTGTTTGTGAGTTTGGGAAAGGTTTGGGGCAGAAAAGGGATGACAGCTGAAGTTTACTTCACATCACCCCTTTGTTATCTTCTAAGGGAACTGCTTATGCTTTGTACGAGAACAGGGTTTCTCCACCGTCTTCGTTGTATATCCAGTTTTCTGTCGAAGAATTTCATTTTGCCTGATGTTAACAGAGAAAGGAGACTTATAGCAAATCATTGTATGCATTCCCTTAACATTCCTGCTAACCTGAGATAGGCCATTGAAGAAAATCATGACAGCGCCAAAGTACGTATATTTTTTGGCGTAAATTCTTCTCTAACCGAAATGCATTGCTTTACGTCCTGTAGCCTACTGACAGTATTTTATAAGTAGGTGGAATAGGATCGTCCAGGTGAGTGTAGTCCTGTATAGGACTGCTGTTGACAGCAGCTGACGTTTTGGCAACCTCTGCATCGACTCTGCAGTAGTTATGCATTTTCAGAGTCAAAGTGAATTGCATGGCGTCATTTGATGGCATTAAATTCTGGTTATTGGCCTGAATGGTCAATAAAGTCGCAATGTTATTGTTTCTCTGTCAGTTAAGCATTGATGTTATTTTGATATGATGACAGTATTTTATACTTAATGTCTACAGGTTCACTTGACGAATTTCTCTGTGTTCTGTTGAGGGTCATCAAGAAAACTTTCCAGTTTGTCAAAGACTTTCGAGCAAGAGAGCCTTCCTATACCGTGATGTTAACAAGGAACACTGATTCGCTCTCACCCGGGTGCGAAGCTGTCAATGATTTCGTAGAGTCCCTATGGAAAGCTATTGACCAGATATGTGTGCCAGCCATGATGCTACAGTATGAATCTGTCGAGACTCCAACAGTGTTTACAAACTTTTTCGAGATCCTTTATCTTTCAGTCTCTGAAGAAAGCTCTTGGAGAGAAAGTTTTGCGCGAAAGCTTACTGCTGGTTCTTTTGTTCGTCTGTCATTAGAAGTCAAGGAAAAATTCAGTAGAAGTGAAGAGAGCACAAAGCTGTCAGATGTGGTGACAGGTTTCTTGACAGAGCTTTGCCTTGCCCACGGTAGCGCTACTGAAAGGACTCAGCTCAGGGGACGTTTAATCACGAGTAATATCGGTTGCATTCGTTCTCCATCCGGGTGTTTGAACGTTCTTACCCAAAGCTCAGTGAGAAAGGATACAAATGACATCCTTGATGAATCTCTCTTTAGTACACAATGCATCTGCATTGAACTCCTTTATTTGTCCTATGCTCATAACGACGAAATTTTGCCAGCTGAAGAGCTTGTGATGGGTCTCCACAAGTACCTCACATTGCATCCCAATCTCAGCAATCTGCCTCGTGTGACATTTAAACATTTATTATTTCTGTGGATCACAAGTTGCAACCGGCTTAGGTCGATATCACTTCCAGCAGCTGCCGTCGACAACATCAATATTTCTCAGGGTATTCTGACGCACACTCTGGTAAAGTTTGATGGTGATGCTTTTGATTCCATTTACATCCACGATATGCTATTTGTTTCCTGGATTTCATCAGTTGACTCCTTACTGCAGGCCTTTGGACGACAGGTCTTGGTCTGCTTCATGGAAAGAGAAGAAATTTATAGCTTATGTAACAACAAACTGTTCAATGAATTTCTGATTTCAAACTTGCAAAGTTTTAAAGCATTTGTTTCGCTCGTGGAATGTCGCAAAGAGGCCATTGTCAATCGAGCAGTAGCAGTTCTGGAGACGTTGTTTGCCGTGAATTCAGATTCACCAGCGACCGCCACGCCCCGGTTAACTTTATTAGCTGACGAAATATCAAATGTATTTCACAAGATGTTTCTTGGCCACAAAACTTACCCTGTCCAAGAACACTCAATTTTTGCCATGCTAAAAGTCATGACTTCAGTCCAGATGAAAGTTCAAGCATTTGACAATAGGATTTTGTATCATGTCATCAACTTGGTGACGTCGACAAGAACTTGCCAAAGCCTCATGTTAACTGCTCTCAACTACCTGAATGTTACGTTAGCCTGGGACTTGAAAAAAGACGCTAACAGGGTTGCTGCAATGCTCCTTTCCAACAAGACGTTCTGTGGCTACATCCAGGACATTCTGGACTCTAAGCTGGTTCATAGTGTGGAGCAACGAAGCAAGTCAGTGAATGATGTTGACTTCCTTGCGACTGTGATAGTTCTCATCACTTCTCTACTGAAGAGTTCCTCTCCCGGGCTGACTTCCCAGTCAAAGGCGCCTAAAGGTGTCCATGCCCCTTTCAAAATTGACAAGAGATTTATGATGAACTTGGCTAACGAAACCAAAAACGTTTTACGTATTTCAAGTACTGTTTTCTGGGAAAACTACTTAAAGGCGGCAAGGACGAAATCAGACAAGCTACCCATCTCATTATCAGCCATGGTAACAGGCGAGGAGCAGACCTTTGGCGAGTTATCTGAGGTAGACCTCCAAGTCTTGAATGCGTATTTACAGAATTCCTTGGTGAATGACAGTGAGACTGTCAGACATTGTGCTGTGAAGTGTCTGAAAAGCTTTCTAAGTTATGTTCCGTGTGCAAGGTCCTTTGCAAGTAACCCTTGGAACAGAATCGTATTGGAATCACAACTATCCGTGCTCAGTGTCAATATAATAACGCCAAGCTTGGTCCTCTTTTGCTCACTGATTCTGGAGCACGTGTCAAAGCAGCACCTACTCAAAGATGTTCTTCGAAACGCAGTCAACGCTGTTCTTGATGCAATCCCCACCATTTCTTATTCAGAGCAACCAGAACTGTCATGGCATTGCGTCGACCTTTTGTTACGAGTGTTAAGATCGTGCGACGATTTCATGACTGAGAAGCAAAGGGGTGCGATTTCAACTTGGCTGACGAAGTTCGGAGAATCTTTCCGGTCCCAAGAGGGGAATAATGGTGATACAGTCAAAGATGTCAATTTTTTCAAATTAGAAAATGTGATTATTTCCAGGGATTTGCTCAAATGTTATGTCTGTACAGAACGTGAGCTTTTAGATCGTGCCATCCATCTGCTACAGGGTACAGAGTTAGACGAAGATGAGGAAACATAACAATCAGCAGTGATCTCTTGAAAGAATTTATCAAAGTAGACTGACTCTTTTTCAACCATAAGTAGGCGTTCCTCTTTAGGAAAAAGTGGTTGTGTCCAAAGAAACATTCAGAAACTGAAAGCGATCTTACTTTAATCGACGAGGCAGAAACTTGCTAGTCTCGTCTCCTTTTGGCCCAGCAACAATATGCTTACAATAAGCAGACGATTAACTGGTGCACATGTCGCATTCATTCCCACAACATTGAGCGCATGTTAAACGATAACTACAGTCATTTGGTTATTGTGGTGGTCTTAGGTTTTTGTCCTTTCGGGAACGGGCAAGCGCCATTGACCAGCATCGGAGTTTGCCTGCCTCCGGGGGTGTGTGTGTGTGTGTGGGGGGAGCGCTCATCAAAGTTTTATCGGGGGGAGGCTCCGCCCTGAGGTCCAATCCCTTACCTATGAAAATACCATTTTTGACTAAACAGGTACTCCTTTCATGGGTCTTTCATATACCTTCTATTGATCATCAGTATATGGTACCCGTTTCCTATACCTGCTGTAACTGCACTGTCTTTAAAATATGAATAAACCTATGAAGAACGTTTTCTAGAATTTTTTACAGCCATAAGATGCATCTGTTAGTCCTTCTGGGTCTTTTTAACGACCACACATATTCATATACCTGAAGCCTGGAAAAAGCATCCCTAGACCATGAAGACAAACCTGACTCACCCATCCTAGTATTTCTAACAAAAAACCCTTAACTCCTAAATAGTAGGACACAGGACAAATTCTATTGAGGTCATTTTAAGGTTACGAGTCAACTCAAAACGTTCTTAGGCATCAACCTGGTTAGAACGTAATACTGATTAAGGCTATGTCGAACCTATGGAGAGGAGAAGTCGTTACGTCACGTTGCCACGGTAGCAAAATTTTTGGATGACAACAAACCGACAAAGTCACTTAAAAGTCTATTCGCACTACTTCAAACTTAACCGATCTTAGGGACTGTGCAATAATTATCAGGAGGGGGGCCCTAAAACCAGAGGGGGGGCCTTAAGTTAAAATAATGGAAAGGAGGGGGGGGGCTCTACATTAGATTTCTCAAGTAAGTTGAGGGGGTGGGGGGGGTCTTAACTAAATTTCACAAATTCGATAATGAAAAAAATAAAAATTTTCCAAATAGACAGATGCCACTCCTTTGACTATCCATAATGTCTAAATATTGCATCAACATAAACACATGCTTTAACTTATTTAGAATGTCAACATATGATAGATTGAAACAATCGTTCATGCACAGAAGTCACAAACCACGTTGTGAGCTTTGCCAATAAAACATTTGGCGTTTAAGAGGTCCCGCAGACATGCCAGGTCTGTTCTTGATTCAAACAGCGAGAGGGTTTCTAGGTCTACAGTTTCTAGCTGAGGAATGCCACATCCTTCTGTTTCATAGTTGTCATCAATGGGTTCACCTCCCAAAGACCGAAAAATTATACAGGTACGGGTTAGAGAGGGGGGGCACATCATGATTTTGAGAGAACGTGAGGGGGGTCAGAGCTAATCTTGACGCTGCTGGAGGGGGGACCTATATAATTTTTCCTTTGGTGAAGCTCATTTTAGGACCCCCCCCCCCCTCCTGATAATTATTGCACAGTCCCTTATTCAATTTTATTTAATTTGGCAAATTTGAGAGCATTTTTTTGTTGTGTTCTCCTACTCCATAATGCCGCCTCGTGAAATTAGGAAGTTTCATGTCGTAGTGGTGCAGCGACGGCAGAGAAATGTACAAAATAGCGTGATGCACGCGCAAAGTTGTTGTCTGTTAATATAAACATATTATTTTTGCCGTTCTCCTTGCCGTCGCCGTCGTCTTTGGTTTTGTTGTCATCAAGAAATAGTGCTACCATAGTAACGTGGCGTCACACTTCTCCTCTCTATTCCGGATCGCTTTTCACATTGACATGAAAAGGTATCTGGTATAGACGGAATAGCATGATCACCTGTTCACACTGCGCCAAAGGTGAGTTGCACAGAAACCTATACTATATGTGAAAATTCTTAGATTTGTTAAATTTTTTAACGTGTAGAAGGCCCAGTTAAGGACAAGTCTCGATTCACTTTAATTTTTATTGACCTCATCACGTCATTTTATTGTTAAAAATAACCATCACTATAAAAACAATTAACAGAGTTCTAACAGTTAAAGATCTTATAAAATTTCATACCAAACCAAAGAACTTATATTTTGCTTAAGTCTCTTGAATTTACCCAAAGGACTATGACACAACACTCTTAAAATGTCATTATCGTACTTTCTATTCACAAAGATAAAGATTTAAATAGGCTGAATTACCAGCTGCTCTTCCGAAAATGGAACCGTGCTCCTACTTGACTGAGCAGTGGAAATGGAGTGCAAGGTTTATACAACCTGAGTGCAGAGGCCCCATTCCCAATTCTTAGAATGCCACTGTTGTGAAGTTTGGCTTGAGACAAGCCTCGTTCCCAGCCTCCCAGGTCTCTCTTTTTCCTGTCACTCCCAGAGACAGGAAGAAAAGAGCCCCAGGGGATGAGGTTGGCTTAAGTCCAGCCTGGCTGCTGGGTTGGGTGCAGGCAAAACATCTTTTACTGAAAAAAGAAACACTTTTCGGGCTCAAATTACACTCTATCTCCTACACACTTGGTTGAAACATTAAAATTTAATGTTTATGTTTTGTTTATGTTTATTTTGTTTAGTGTCATGGACTTCAGATATTTAATATCTGAAGTCCATAACACTAAACAAAATGGGTCATAAGTAATAAATGAGGACCTTTGAGCCTCTTTGAAATAGAATTTCCTTACAAAAAGTATTCCAAATAATTCACACTCCCACTGATTATCTGAGATATTAAGAATCTGCTTAGTTGCAATGTTGACAAATTCAAACAATAAGATTGTCAACTCTTAAATCCATAATGCTTATAAGAGTATCTATTTCCCCACATCAAAACCTTATAAAAAATAAATGTCATTCAAATGAAGAAAATCATCAACAAAGATAAAATGTGTTCAAGTGATAATAAATAAATTCTCCTTATTAGTATATGAGAAATTGGTGGGATGGAAAAATGCGTAGATTATGTAATTTGGCGTTACTGGACTAACAGTGGTATTAGGTTCAGCACACTGTAATAATTAATTTGCATTTGTGAAATGAAAGACAACTGTGGAAGTATAATTATAATACAAAATAATAGAGTTATACTGTTCTGTCAAATATAGTATTCTTTAGCTTGTGTGCACTTTGACACATTTTTCTATATTTCTGTATAAAAAATGTACACTTTTATTTATTATTTTCATATCTTATTAAATAACAATTTTGACATTGAGGGAAAATATGAATTTCAGTTAATTTTTTTGTCATCAATTGAAGATGCATCATTTTCATTGCCAGTGTGATCGTGTTCATGGAAGACCTTGAGCATTACTTGGCGAACATTTTCTGTTATCACTGAAACATCATCAGGGGTGGTTCCTTCAGTTGGTATGGGTTTCAGCACTTTAACTTTAATGATTCCTGCAGAAATGGAAAAGCATAGTTAAGATTCTTTGATCCAACACTGCTCTACAGCACATGTCAATCTTGATCTTTTTTTTAAGGTTTGGGTACCACTAACTATTTCAGTGGTCATATTGTTATACTCATACAATGTAACTGTGTCTCATGACATCTGTTTGAGAGTTTTAAAAGACTGTGTTTTGTTTATTAATCACTATTAAAATTTACGTTATTTTTTTTCTGACCAAAAACAAGCAAACATCCCCTATATATATTACATATATACAGTATATAGATTAAACAAAACAATTACAGAATAAAGACGTTTAGCATGTAATGTAATAAGAAGACTGAAAACTACATTGCCTTACATTAAAGAGGAAACTTCACTTTGATACATACCAGACTCAAATAACTTGTTCTTCTTGTTGAAAATCGAACTGTAATCGTAAAATACAACTGGCACAATTGGAAGCTGACAATAAAATGGTATGAACAATTAAGTTAACTATTTAGAACAAAAGCTATTTAAAACACCGGCTCCTTCTTTTCACCTTAAAAATTTCAGGGTCTGAAAACGTGACCAATGCACCTAAAAATTGACTCTTCCAACATCTCACAATAGTTATTTGTTTCTGTGTTTCAAAATGTCTTATGTTCAGACAAGGTGTATGGCTGTTTTCATAGCTACCATATTGTTTATGGTAGTCATCCCCGACTGACAATGCCTTGGGTATCTTATATATGTGGCAGGTCAAAATTAAATTCAGGTTAAAATTTCTTAACCTGGGCTGATTCTCAATTTCCCTCGTCTCCTAGCCCTAATTCATGAATAATTGGGGCTAGGAGACAAAAAGGAACTTGAGAATCAACGTAGGTTAAAAAATTTTAACCTGGATATAATTTTGACCTGTAACATATATTGTACACACATGCTTTCTTTCTTATGAGGTCACTTTTTCCAGTGCTTCGCAAACTCTGCAAAATTTCCTTCAGTTACGGTAGGTGACAAAAAGAAGTTTTTTACAAGGGCTAGATATAGAATGGGTTTCAGAGATGAAAAAATTGATCTTGCTGATTTCAGAAACAATGAATCATGGTAAAACACAGTGGCTTGCATCTTGACATGATCCGCCGTCATGATCACAAAACCTGACTCATGTTTCTTTAAAAAATTTTGAAATTAAGAACGATTATGAATCAAGGGGCACTTGTTAATTTTTGGCCTAATTTCAAGAACAGATGCTATTAACATACAAAAGGTAACTTCTTGAAACAAATCTGCAAATACAAGATTATGCCTAGAGGATTGGAAAAATTCCTGGTGACCAGCTAACGCCATCTGGCTACCTTAAGTTTTTAATATGTCGCCAGATGGTGCCTGCATCAAAAAGTTAATTTCAGACCCGGAATGTTTTAGAAGAGAGGGCATTACAAAAGGGAGACAAACTAGCTAAGGTCAAGACAAGTCCTTTGTCTTAATTCAATATTGACTTAGATGTACATGTAACTCAACTCTCTAAGCCATCTATGTTTTTAACGATTAAAATCAGTTAGGTTTCAATGCACTAATGGAACTTGTCTTGTTGACTTCACTTGCCAGCAACAATTTGATATTTCAGAATGTAGTTAAGGTGGCTCGATACAGTTTTCCAGGGCCAATACCTCCCAAGTTTGAGCATAAACTACGTCGACATAAACAAAGTTTTGAAAAAATTGCCACCACAGTTGTATTAGATAAAGATGAAAATTTGTTATGATCAGGGTTGCAACGGCATCGGAGTTGTCATAACAATGAAATGACGCTATTACCTATTTTACTTGCAGCAGTATATCTTGGCACTAGGAACTGTTCTTCCAAAATCGTTCACGGGAGCTTTTTCTTCCAATAGCGGCCTCGATGTTCGTGAAGTTTAAGCGAAATCTTCATCCCAAAATATCTCGATAACGCTCTTACAGATTTCGCTTAAACTTCACAAACATCGAGGCCGCTATTGGAGGAAAAAGCTCCCGTGAATGATTTTGGAAGTTCAGTTCCTAGTGCCGAGATATACTGCTGCAAGTAAAATAGGTAATAGCGTCATTTCGGTGCTATGACAACTCCGATGCTGTTGCAGCCCTGATCATAACAAATTTTCATCTTTATCTAATACAACTGTGGTGGCAATTTTTTCAAAACTTTGTTTATGTCGATGTAGTTTATGCTCAAACTTGGGAGGTATTGGCCCTGAAAAACTGTATCGAGCCACCTTAACAAAGTATGGCTTTTACTTGCCCTTTTTCCCCCCTCTCCCCCCCCCCCACAAACTAACAAACAAATAAGTACTCCTCAGACTCCCTTTAAAATACTGAAAAGCTGACATTTTAACCCATTCGCCCCTGAACCGCCCATGCGGATCCACGTCCTTTCTACCCTTTGTGACGTCATCAGTTTTAAGAGTCAAGAAGAGGCAAAAAACCATGTAACATTGACCTGAAAATCTCCATGAAAATCTTGTTCCATTGCCCAGCTACCTTTCCTTTCACCTAATCCTAAGATCCTAAAAGCTTTCCTAAAAACTATTCCCACCAAAATGAAGCCTACTAAATGCCCAGCAAGAGAAACAATTAAATGAGGCAAGGAACGCGAAAAAAGAGGGGAGGAGAGAAAGTGAAAAGTAAAAGTCAAGACTCCTGTGTCACTTTTAAACCCCAAAACTATCTCGAAATTTTGCTTTCTGCGCATGCCCAAACTTCGCAAGCTGACATGTTGCATCTGGATCAGAAGGCCATGAAGAGTTAGTGTACGACCTGTAAACCAGTTTGTGGTAAGTTTTAGCTCTTTATAGCACGACAGTGACCAGAAAACCACTCGACTAGCTTCAAAACGCGTTTTTCGGCAAAATCTCCAGGAGCGAATGGGTTAAATACTAGGCCTTCATTATTCACCCTGATGCACAAAAAGGGCTAGTGCTTGTAATGGCACCTTGTTAAACTCTTTACATTGGTAGATTGACCTCATCAACTAAGCTGATGTCAACAAATTTATTATTTATCATTGTTTTCCTTCCTGGTTGAGACTAGTAGGTCAGAATGGGAGAAGTTAACTCCCAAAGTTTATGGAATGAGTTTTTACACCCAGACAGGTATGGCACAGGAGTTAGAGCAACAACTTAACTTCCTGTCTCTATAATTGTAAATCTAAATTTTATATTGGGAGAATGTTTCACTGAAACTAAAGAATGCAATCCTAGAGAAGCAGTCATTTTTTACTTTACCTGAGTTTGTTGAGCCAAATGAAATGCCCCTTTCTTGAATGGTAGAAGAGTACCAGACTGGCTTCTGGTTCCTTCTGGGAAAATCCAAACATTTATCTGAAAAGAAAAAAGCTGAAGTGTTCTCATGACAGTCCAGAGTCTATGGAGTCAGAGCAAACAAAAACAATTAAACTTCTCGACCTTACTGGAGTTTGAAGTTCTGGACATAGCTGCCAAAATTTCCCCACATTGTTCACTTTTTACAACTTTATAACAGAATTATAAGAATAAACACCCACAGACATCTGTGACCACTTACGTAGTAGAACTTTTGTCTGCTTTCCCATAGAGAGGAGAAGTCGTTACGTCACATTGCCATGGTAGCAAAAATTTTGGATGACAACAAACCGAAAAAGTCACTTAAAAGTCTATTCGCACTATTTCAAACTTCACCAACCTTATACTATTTCATTTAATTAGTCAAATCTTTGTGAAATTTTCTTTTGGGCCGCATCCATTGTTATCTAAGTTAAGAAAAAAAAAGCGGCAATTTTTGTATTTGTTCACCAACTCCATAAAGCGGGCTCTTGAAATTAGGAAGTTTCATGTCATAGTGGTGCAACAACGGCAAACAAATGTACAAAACAGCCTGATGCATGTGTAAAGTTGTTGATTGTTAATATAAACATATTATTTTTTGCCGCTCTCTTTAACGTTGCCGTGGTTGCTGGTTTTGTTGTCATACAGAAATTGTGCTACCATGGTAACATGACGTCACACTTCTCCTCTCTATTGTCTTGAACTAATACCATTCTTTCCCTTTGAATTTACACAACCTTATTAGCCCTATACCCTTTGGGGAGATTTCACCCTATTTATTATTAAATTATATATCATTTACAACATTTGAATTCCACTGATGAGCTCATTTTATAGATCACATCAGCATTTCTACAAAGGTACATAATTTTTAAAATGAATTTGAAATGTGAAAGATTGAACTGTTAAAAAAGTGCTTATTTCTTAATATATCAAATTATTTTAATATCATACCCTTAAACAAAATTTTGTTTTGCAGCTTTTCTCATGAGAGAATTTAGTCACTCTCCAGCCACAACTTTCCCCTTCTTGTATTTTCTACTTCTTAACTTGTGTTAAAGTAGTACCTATGTGGTAAATATTTCGTTAAGTTATGGGCTGTTGGCTAAAGTGAACTAAGAAATAACCTTCAATAACTAATAGACCTTTTCACAGTTTTTCAACTTTTGACATGGACAAGTTAGGGAATATCCGTCGACACCACTGGAAAGAGCACCTTAATTTTAGCAAAATTGCCAAATTTGAAAGTGATACATCTTAACCCTTTAAGCCCCAATATCCACAAGCAAATTCTCCAAACTGATCTCTATACATTTCTTTAAAGAATGAGTTGAGAGAATTTGAGAAAAGATCAAAGCATTTTCTCTTAGGTGATCATTTAATTAATTCTCACAACCTAATCGCTTGACATTGTATGGATATCATTAGGAGAAAATTGATGTTGGTCACTTTTGGGACTTAAAGGGTTAAGCAAGTGAAGATAAAGCTCCACAAATTTGCAAAATTTACAGATGTTTGTATGGTGGGGGGCAAGTTTGTGCCGCCCACAATACAAACATCCATAAAATTTTGCAACTTTGAGGAGCTATATCTGTGTTAGTTTTCAACAAATAACTTTCAAACTAGGCAATACTATAAATCTTAAGGCACTCTTTTCAGTGGTGTCGGCAGATTTTCCCTAACTTGTCCATGCCAAAAGTTGAAAAAAAAAGGGAAAAGGTGTGTTTACATATATGTCCTTGTCTCAAAACACAGCCCACTAAGCAACCACAGCCTCTACCCCTGTCCCCATTCCGCCCCAAAACCCCCGCCCCTCCCACCAGCTGTTGGAACATCAGCTTGTTTTTATTGCGAAACGCGTAAGCGTGCATAGCAATGTATGGATACAAAGGTCATTTTCGTCATCTTTCTACCGCACAAATGTACCTTTTCCTCAAGGATCCTCTTTAAAGTCTTGTCCATAACATTCCTAGCGCTCTTAGAATGTCCTCTGTTGATAAAGATGACTCCGTAGAGCCAAGCCGCGAAACCAAACAATGGGACAAATAGTAATTCTTTCTTCGCCAGGAAAGTGGTTCTACGCGGTGTAGTCTTTAGCAAAGGAAACATATCCAAAGAACTCTGGTGATTTGCTACCACAACAAAATTCTTTCCACTGAGAGAGTTAAAAATGTCAAGTCCTTCAACATCGACACGTATAGCAAAAAATTTGACCAAACAGTTGTAAACAAGACCTTTGGCACGACTCCAGTTTTCCACATCAAACGGGTGAAACACTCCAATCACCAAAGCGTAAATTGCAGCAAACAACATGAAACAGTTGAAGGAAAAATACTTGATATGGAACCTAAAATTTCTCGATCTTCTATAAAGGACAACTAAACCAATAACGAGGCCCAAAATGCCAAAAAGAATGAATTTTAACAGCCACATTCTCAGTGAAACCCTCAAGCAAGAGAGCAAGCACGTTACCCAGAGTGCAATGGTTTGTTGAAATCCCAAAAGACCCTGCGCTCTTGGTAGCTATATAAACCCTGTTTCCCTTTAAGTTCTCAGTTACCTTAACACGAAGGCGTACGATCAGGGAAAGAGATATCTTTGTTTTTTACTTCACCTGTATTAACCATGGTGTTGGTCGATTTAAAACTCTTTAAAAACAGTATTCCATTTGTATATGAGAGAAAGATCGGTGTTTGTTCGCGATTTTTTACCATCGACTTGAGCGATGATTCAAAATGGAAAATTACGCCATGATGAACAATTTTGGAAACAAAAAATGTCATTCGGTGATTTTATCTTCACGTGGTAGTATGTCGAAGCAAGGAAAAAGCGTTAAAGTCGGTCAGAGGAAGGATTTTGTTCGAAATTTTCCACGCGTTCGGGGAGCAATGGAAATCATATTTCTTTTCATGACGTCACCAAGCGCCATATTGCAGGTGAGTGCGTTGATTCATGGGAAGGATGTTTTACGCTTTTTCTCATCCGGGAAACTTGCTTCCTGTGACCTTCATTTTACCGGCGTAAGGAAGACAACGTGGTTTCACACGCGATTGTCTTTTCTTTGCCAAAACGCAATTTTAAACGCTCGTCACCGCCTAATTGGAATGAGCAAAGATCTCTTAGACTACCCTTTCTGCCATGATGTCAACAAATACGAAAGGATGGTTAAAATTGGCCAAGGAACCTTCGGGTTTGTTGACTGTTTCAGTCCGCCATTTTGATAATTCGACTTGCTTTGTCGTTACGTTCAACGACATTGATTGTAAGAATTATTTTGCAGCGAGGTGTTCAAGGCACGCAACCGAAAGAATACCAAAGAAATCGTTGCCCTCAAGAAGGTCCTCATGGACAACGAGAAAGAAGGGGTATTTAATGTTCTTGTGAATACATGCTTTCCTTAGTGTTAATTTCGTAGAGTTCCATGTTTGTTTTGTAGTGACTGAACTTTTGGTGTTTTTTGCACCATATGTTCAGTTCCCTATCACGGCCCTCAGAGAGATTAAGATCCTTCAGTTGCTGAAGCATGAGAATGTGGTTAACCTGTTGGAGATTTGTCGTACTAAAGGTAAGTCGTGTTGTCCTCCCTTCGCCTACGTAATATGTGTCAGAATGCATGGTTTAGAGTGTTTTTGCTATGGAGCTGTCTTTGTGTCTTGCTGGATACCTGTCGATAATATGAGCAAACATTAAGATTTATATTCAAGATGTGGATTGTTAGTGCTTTGATATTCTCTTCTTAAATTGACAACTTAATTTTTTTAAGGAAAAAAATGTCTTGCATTGACCAAAGAGGCTAAACGTAATCTTATGATAACTGGGTGACATCCTGCATGCTCATTTATGGAGAGCTATAGACCAAGGGAATGACCTAATGGGGAAACTGGCCGCTTCGATACAAATTCATTTTGATGCACACCCAAGCAGTGAAATTGCAGAGAAGTTTCATTCACTTCATGCATCAGTGCTTGACTTTCAGAAAAAAATGTTGGGGCCGGCTGGCCCCCAAGTTTTCATTTTTGGTTGGCTGAACAAGACAGTATTCTACAATCTTGGACAAAATAAATGGAAAACCTACACCCCCCCTCCCCCCCAAATCAAGGATGGGAAAATGGTGCGTTTTTGCCCTTCGCGTGGCTTGATCCTTGATTTGGGGGGGATGGGGGTTTGCTGTTCCATTTTATTTTGTCCAAGATTGTAGTCGCCAAAAATTGTATCTAAGAACTAACAGAATACAATAAACTTAACCTCTTTTACTTAGCCATACCAGAGAAAGAATGCTTTACACTTCCTTTGAACTTTCTTTCGAGTAGTTTTCGCTCGAGGCTCGGTTACCAGCTTGTGTTCAGAAAAATGAACCCGCACTCAAGCGTACATCTCCTCAAACAAGTATTCAAGCAATGGAATACACAATTAGATAAACAAACTTTAGGAATCACAAAAAATCTTCTTTCTGTTATTAAAGAACAAAATCTGCAAAATTTGTCTTGTATCCCATGTATTGGCATATTCAGAAATGAACATCAGTGAAACTTGATCTATTTCACAGTTGCCTAGCATGTGATCGAAAGTCCTCCAGAAAGAGAAAACATCGCTAATGTTTTCGGGCAAAGCATTTGATTTCGTGAGAAGTCTGTGAGACAAACAGCATGAGTACAACAGTACTTCTTTAGAAGTCAATAAAGTATGGCAGAGCTTTTGCTCAACAGAAATTTTCATAAAGTTGTTTACAAGAGGCTTGAGAAATATGCGCTGTTGTTCTCGATTAGCTTAAGCTTTTATCAGATTAATCTGCTATTGAGTCCGCAATCAAGATGTGTGTTCGACATAAAGAAACAGTTTTAAATAAGCACTAAAATTCATTGCCAAAGAAACACAGGACGACCTGTTGAGAATTGGGATCGATTTGTCCGAAAGTCAATAAGACTTCCGTTGAAAACTATCTGTTCGTTTTGTAAAGGATAACAAATTATCGTTAGTGCATGCTTTTGCCAAAGAAGAAAGTCACCTATCTTGAAATTGACACAGTATGTTTTGTAAAGATTGTCCAAGTTTCAGCCCAGCGTGGAAAGAAAGTTGTGTCGGATAACACGGGGCTAGTCGATTTTGCTATCGGGCTAGTGATTTTTGTTCTTAACTTGCCCGATGGTTATGTTATTCTGAACAGACTCTGTGGATTGCTCTTAATATTAAGACATTAACTTTTGAAAACTATTAAGGTTGTTTAATGTTGACGCAAATTCAGTTTTGTCTCGTCTGGAATAACTCAATCCTGGCCATTTTGGGTCTTAGTTTGGTCGAATTTTACTTCATAAAACCCTCAGGGTTCGCAAATACGCCAAATGTGGCGTATTTTACGCCAAAATTGTTCAGATGACTCCACGGAGGTTACGGAGGGAGTCACTTCGACTCCAGAAATTTTCGGTAACAAGCACAGTTTTGTCCTTACCTTTTTCACAACAAATACAATTCACGTTAATTGTAAACGTTGTAAACCTTAATTAAATCATCGAAATTAAAGAATTATACTGCACGACAAAACAGGAAGAGGGTAAATTACGATCAAGGTTTACTCGATGACCGCCATCATGGATTTGAGCTTTCCAGGTCAGCAGACCGCCACGGCTACTTTGTGTATCCCTCACGATAGTGTGTACATGCCAGGACCACGTGCTGGAAAGTCTGAAAATGGCTTTTTTCGTTGTGATACTTGACTCCAAATATTCCAAAATGACTCCAAAATTTGTGAAGCAGAAGTCACACTGACTCCACTCATCAATAAGATTTGCAAACCCTGAACCCTTATTGCTCTTTGTAGTGCTTTTACATCGCGATACAAAGTTTTCATAACACTAACGCGACAGTCTTGCGTATCAGTGAATCCATAAGGATAGGAAGTAAATTTTGATTGGTTCTCAAAAAAACCCCAGCATTGGAACAGAGTTTTACGCTTCAGGGTTATATGCTTCTGGTAGCAGTGAATATTAAAGTTGTTTGTAATGTCTAAACTGCAAAATACAGGGCCACCTACCATACAAGGTGTCTTATTTGAGGCATTTTCGTTAACTGTCAAGTTAAATGAGCTACCAAATATATAGGTCAAAGCCATCCACTACCAAGATTGTGACTTCCATGTGATGTGATAGTCAAGTGGGCAAGTGAGCTTAAAAAGTCAACTTGACCAGACCATGGGGCAGGCTGTTTTTCAAACACTGCTTTTTAGCTCTGAGAGAAGTATGGTGTCCCCCAAGTTGATTGTTATCTGCTACAGCAAAAGTTACTGCTCTACCTAGGTATTTTTATTTTATTCTGCTGTCCCAAAAATTGTCATACGTTTATGTTTGGCCAATTTAAATTGGCCCCTACAGCTGGCATTATAGAAAAAGTTATGTTATTCACTTGTCATTTTACCTGGGATCTAAACCTGGTTTAAATAAAATTCATGTGAAAGAGATAGATAATAATTGGCATAAACTTGTACCGCTATTATTTTTCAAAATTGATACTTTCATTTGGAAAATTTGATCAATTACATGAAGAGCATCTTTGTCCCTGGTAGCAGTGAAGATGCAGTTTGTCAACAGACTTACTGGCCTCACCAAAATCGTGGGAAAAACAACAAAGTTGATAATCTATAGCTTCGATGATTCTGGGGCTCATGTCCTTAATGAAGACCTGTTTACTAACTCTTTCTCACTCTCACTTCCTCTTTTGTAGCATCTCCGTACAACCGTAATAAGGGGAGTATCTACCTTGTGTTTGAGTTTTGTGAACATGACCTTGCTGGCCTGCTGAGCAATCATAACATCAAGTTCTCATTGTCAGAGATGAAGAAGTTAATGCAGATGTTGTTGAATGCACTCTACTTCATCCACAGCAATAAGATTCTACATCGAGATATGAAGGCTGCAAATATTCTCATTACTAAGAATGGTGTTTTGAAACTAGCTGATTTTGGGCTAGCTCGTGCTATTCATTTAAACAAAGAACAAACACAACGCTACACCAACAGGGTAGTCACTCTTTGGTACAGACCACCGGAATTGTTACTAGGAGAGAGAAATTATGGCCCACCCATTGATTTATGGGGTGGAGGCTGCATCATGGCAGAGCTTTGGACACGAACACCTATAATGCAAGGAAATTCGGAGCAGCACCAGTTGACCCTAATAAGTCATTTATGCGGCTCAATAACAACTGAAGTGTGGCCTGGAGTGGAAAAGCTGGATTTGTTCAACAAGATGGTGCTGCCTGCAAATCAGAAACGGCGTGTCAAGGAAAGACTGCATAGCTATGTGAAAGATAAACTTGCACTTGATTTGATTGATCAGATGTTGACGATTGACCCAACCCACAGAATTGACGCCGATACTGCTTTGAATCATGATTTCTTTTGGAGTGATCCTTTGCCAACTGACCTCACTCGTACTCTGAGTTCTGTCAGTACTTCCATGTTCGAGTTTCTGGCACCACCTCATGGACGCAGAGGACAGGTACAGCCTCCTGCAGCTGCTGCCCAGGCTCGTGCTGCTGCTGCAGCTGCAAATCAGTCCAGTGTTGTTCAAAGTGGGACATTTGACAGGGTATTTTAATTTTATATTATGGACATGATTGACTAAGTTGCATTTATGACTGTCAACATAATTATAGTGAAGTATACAAAAAATGTTATCGTATTTAAGGCATTAATCACAGCAAATAAATGAAAGACACAGGGAGAAATACAAACAAAATAGAAAACAACAAAAAAATTGTAAAAGAAAAAGAAAAAAGCAACAAAAAAAACAAAAGAAAAAGAATTTACCAACAAAAAATTTCAAAAATTTTTGTAAGAGAAAGAAAAAAAAACATAAATATGAAGGTCATGCTTTTAAACCTCAAAATCAAAGCTTTTTATTGCAGTGTGTTGTGTAACCATTGATGCAATTTTCAAGCTCCTTGCTAGTTTGTTTTGTTAACAAGGCTTGGTACAATTTTGTAGTTCATAAAATTAAAATAGTACAGTGCTAATGGAACAATAATATCCTTAAAAACATTAATTCTAGCAGTGAAACGTTATTGCTGTATAAGTATTGTGTATACGCAGACTCTGAAAGAAATCACATAGAGTTGGCTCATCAAAACATTGAGGGCTTACTACTTTTAAAAGTTCTGCCAAATAGAAATTAAGTTGTGACATACAAGTAGCACAATAGATGTTTTTGCCATTGTAAGTCCTATGAAAGGTGACTTAAAGTTGTTTGGTATTCACCTCATGTTAAGTTTGAGTGCAAGATTATTTTTGTAATTTTTTTTAATGCATTTAACAAAGCTGGAAATAATAGTTGGCTGATGAAATGCCATAGTTAAACAGATAATTTAAGGTTTTGAGCCATGCTGGGACATGGTGTATATGCCCTTAAGTGGCTGCTTGAAGTATGCATTTTACTTCAAAAACAATTTATACAAAGAAATGATATTGCCACTTACTTTTGCTGTGAATTGCTGGCATAACTTGGAATTGGCTCTGTGACTTACAGTTGATCGATAAATTATTTCCAGCTCTGCAAAGTACCAGTGTGTAAACAGACATTTATAACAAAGAATAGCCATCATGTGGCTATGTTTTCAAAACAGTTTTTCCTGTTCACTTCCCTTTTTTTATATTCTTTACAGTTCAAATATGTCCTTTTGGATGCCTTGAGCTAAGTGCAGCTGTATTTAAATTGTATAGTATAAATCTTTCAAACCATAGCAGAGGTGTCCTGTTTTTGTTTGAATTTAAACAGTTCTTTTAAGAAATTTCCTAAGTGGCCAATGTTGTCATAAAGAAAAAAAATAAGGGTAGAGTGATAGACTGTTTACTACACTGGTTATACCTAGCACTAACATAGAATGGCAATAAACTAAAACAGAAGAACTTTATAAAATGTGTCTTTTCTTATTTGTGTTGATTCATCCTCTTTCTATAAATATGTAAAAATTGGTGTTCAATACCACCGTGCTAGCAGTAGGACCCAATGTTATTGACTAGTGTCCAGTTCCCCAACTTTCTAATCAACTTTCAAGAAATAATTTATTAAATATGGCTGACTTAATTTCAGTGCCTCAGGAAAGCAGAGTTTTGTTTGGGTCTGATTTTAATCATTCAGATATACTAAACAGTTGGGAATCAGGCCTTGCATGTACTCAGGCATGCACAGATTACAAATTTAGGTAACAATAAAACTCCGAAACAGATTCAAGCATGTTGGCCTGTTTTAAGGTTTAACCAGCATGATGCACTTTTCAACATTAATGAACTTATGCAAGAGGATGGGAGAGGAAAGAAGATGGCAAACCTTGCGTGTCAAGCGAGAGAATAGTTTTGTTTGAAAAAAAATTCCATCAAACTTCATCTTCCTTTAAACAGATTTTTTTGTGAAAGACAGAAAACATGAAAAGTGAAGATCAGTGACAACAAAACATGCAAGCAATAGCCCTGTCACCTTTGTCACACACAAGCATTTTGCCATCCTCTTGTTTCTGCTGTCATGTTGTGTAAACTCGCTATTGTTGCACAAGAGCTGCAACATTTGTTGATTAACAACAAAACCATGTGTCCCAAGTTACAGCCTCTCTGAGTGTGAAGAATATTTCTTTATTGTGGTTTGGCACTGTTGGCCAAAACAATGCAGTAAGATTTTTGTGGCTACTGCCTCTCTTTACAGAAGACTAGACATCATTTCATGGTCTATTTATTGTAAGTAGGTAAGCATGTTAACCTCTATGGGAAACCCAATACTGTGCAAAAAAACAAACTAGGCCTAGTTGTTGTTGCAGCCACTTAGTAGTCAAAAAATGCTTTTGATGATGACAAGGGCAGAAGTATTTTACAGAGAAGTTGGAACTGAGTTAGGAATATCGAAGTTGATCTAAGAGAACATTTTGTATTACATCTTACTTCACAGGATTTGTTAGGTATATCAGCCATACGGTCTTCAAATGTGATGGAGAGCAATAAGTTTAGCTTTTTACCATCAAAACCTTGCTTATTTTCCTGGCCCCGGTTGTTCAAATGTTGGATAGAGCTACCCACCGCCTAAATCGCTATCCAGCGGATATTAAAGTGTTAGGGAAACCACTGCGTTATCCACTTGGATAGATTTGTTTCCAGTAGATAGCGCTATCCAACCTTCAACCAATGGGCGCCTGGAATCTATCCCTGAATAATATACTAGCCCAAACTCGTTTCACGAGTATGATTATTATTGATTCTACTAATCAACAATAACTGGGAAGAGGGATTAAATCGACTAGTGCATCCCCAGTAATAATCCCAGAACCATGTATGGAACACATTTCAGCTCCACTTTCCTTCTCGTTTCTAAAGTGGCGAATAGCATCCACCAAAAACCAGCAACAATAGCGACCGCCCACCCAAATGCAAATTTTGTGTGTCCACCATAGGAAGATTCAAAGGCTGCTATTCAAAAGCTTGTCCCTTGCTGGAGTGGGTTTACCTCTCATAAAGAGGTAGTGCTCAAAATGCCGCCTTTCGACTCTTTTCAGGGTGGACACAGCCTGTTCACAGACCCTCTATTTTCTCTGTAGAGATTGTTGAGTGCGTGTATGAAAATAAGGGGTATGGAATGGTTCCTTGAAAAATGTGGGTCTTGAAAATTTTGGCTCAATCTCAAAATCTCGGAAATGTTTTTGATGGGTCTTGTTTTCGGGTGATTTTGCGTCTCTGAGCCTCAATTTTGCAACTGGGGTCTCACAGTCTCGCAAAGTCTCAAATTTACCATTCTATACCCCTAAAATGAAAATTGCGAGGGATTGATTGATTGTTAGTGCAAGGCACTCACATGCTTGCCAAATTATAGGCTAGGGTGGACAAGAATTTTACTAATAGCCTGAATATTTTCAGGCTTTCTTTTCGCAACTGCAAAAGGTGCATCTGTAACTGTGATGATTTTCGTTTCATTTAATTCTTTGTCCAGCAGTTTCAAATTTGTAAGTTTCATTTATGTATCAGTCTTTCAAGAATATCTCACTAGACAAACTCAGTTGATGAAGTGGAAATTATTGTGTTTCACTCCCTTAATGCCACAGTTTCCCTGAACCTGACCTGGGAGTCTTTTTTCCCCAAAACCTTTCTAACTGTCTTAAAGGGATACAATGTAGTCCTGTGTACCATATTCACCCATATTTGTGTTTTCCAATTTTGAATTGATTTCACCACCATCAGATAAACATTATTCTCTTGACTGTCAGTAGACAACAGCTGTCTGTCCAGTGTGGGCCGGCACTCATTCATTGGTAGTGCTTCTTTATGTCTTGAGTAGTTAATAGTTACAACTCTGTGCAATGCTTTTGTTAGGGTACATCCCCATAAAAAGAGACCAAGCAGTCCATTACATCCTCATCATTACACAGTTCAGAAGAGTCAAAAGATATTTGTTGAGATGTGCCATTGGTGGCAGCAAGTACCAGTTCTTTGTCTTGTCTGACACCTTTTTTTTTCTGTGTTCTACCTGAAGAAAAGAAAAAAGGGAATTTAATATTAATAAAATACATTAATTTTATTCATATTGTTAAGCTCAATTTTTTAATAAATATATATATTATTTTATTATGTCTAGTTTTATTTATATTAATAAATTATCTATTTTTAATTCTTCTTCTTCTTCTTCGTCTTATTATTATTATTATTATTATTATTATTATTTGATTATGGCGAAACAGTCTCTCTTGGCAAGCAAACTGGTTCCTGTGAAATGTTAGGCATTGGTTTACTAAAAACAGGTTTCTGATTTTATTTCCTTGTTCTCTGACTTTTGTTACATTCAGGATCTTGAAAGCAATTGTAATATTATTGTTTGAGTCTTATTATTTCGTAGCCTGCGAGTAAGCTCATTTGTGCAATTTGAGCAAAATCATTTGGGTGGCCATCCAGCAAGGAAAAAATATGAGCCTTTTCCTCGGCCCATTGGTGAGTCCACCAACCGTCAAAACTTTTCCCCGAGCTCGCACAAGTGAGCCTGCTCGCAGGCTAATTATTTAGGCAGGGATAAAAAATCTGAGACTCACAAAAGTTAACAAAACATTAATTTTGAAATTTAAATAAAAAAACATGGTAAAAGGTTAAGACTCGGAGGTAGAAACAAACAGGCAAAAAATGAGATTTCAGACCCATCACAAATAATGCTTTGAGATGTAGAACTTGCAAAAATATTTTCCAAGACCATGATTTTGATGGTACAATATTATTGCCCCCCCCCCCCTTTCATTTTACCTTGCTTTTCAGGAGTAGCACTGCTATCACATTCATGCAATATGTTGCAAAGATTTCTGAAAAACCTGAAAAACAAGTTATTAATTATTTCTGTATAAGTGCAAGCCACCGACAATATGACCTGTTGGTTGAACTTAAAAAGCAGGAGCACATAAGTTTTCCAGGAAAATGTGTTTTGAAAATATACCATTGCATTCAAGGAAATTTTCTGATTAATCAACAGGAAAAAAGGGTGTGGGGTGCATGTCAGCTTCCATAAAAATGTAACTTGAAGGATGTCAGTTCACCTCTCTGATGGTTCCACACACACAGCAACACTGACATGCAACTATTATAGTTTGAAAGTGAAGAACGTCCACAAGTACAGTCTTTGGTTCACTAGGCAGTGTTAGTTTATTTTTGGTTTTTCCATGAAAAAATACACATACCTATCTTTTCTCGTCTGATTCTCTTCAAGCTTCTTGTTGGCAATATTCACCAGGAACTTAACATACTAAGATGGGAAAATTTTCATAAAAAAATTATATAGTTATCACTCTAAGAAACTTGACATTATTTTCAACATGGAAGCAGAGCGTGGAAGTAAAATTACTATATCACAAGAAAAAATAACCAATTCCCATTTTTGGATATTTTAGGGTATTTAAAGAATACCCACAAAAATCCCAAATTTGGAAGAGTGAGACACGTCCCAATCAGGGAACTTGGTTGGGAATTCCCTGGTTGGGACTTGCCTCACTTTGCCAAATTTGGGATTTTTATGGGTATTCTTTAAATACCCTAAAATATCCAAAAATGGGAATCCGTTATTTTTTCCTGTGTATGTCCCCCTAGAAGGTTCCCATAGCTGCATTTTTTAGGTGGTGGTGTGCCCCTGCCTCTGAAAAGACTGTAATCGCTTATAAGGCCTATACCGTATACAGGGATGTGTCACTGAACAGGGTATGGGTTTTGTACTCTCTGTCCTAAACAGGGTATATAATAATAATTCATGCGAGTCTGTCCTAATTATAAACGGGGTATTGCCTGCACAATTAATTACATTTTGATTTGCTTGGTACTCTAAGTATACAGACGCAATAACTATAACATGAACTTGCTCCATTATTGCAATTGCCAATAAATGACCTTAAAACAAGACGGTGTGCATTTTGTCCTTTATCTTAAGCAAGGTATTAAAATTGAGGGTGTTGTCCTCAACAGGGTATGTATTTTAAAAAAGGAATGCAATATTATTTAAAATATTCTGGTACAAGGCTTTTGTCCCCTGAAAATTAAAATTATTTAATTTCCTGATGGATTCCATCTTAATCGTCCAGTCTTTTTAATTCTGGAAAGACAATATTATTTTGGGAAGGAATTTGGGCAGGGTAATGTTAATTTAGTTACCTTTTCAGAGACTAAAAGTTCTCCATCATGAACAAGTGGAACTTCCATGCTTTGAGTACTCCTTACAGCCTACAAAAAATATGTTTTAACTTTTTTTTTTAACTTGAGGTAACCAACATACTTTTACCTTTTTGTAGTCTAACTTAAGTGCTTGAAAGTTTGAGATTTGCCTCTGCCTGGGACCCAAAGATAATGCATGCTCAAATAATTACAACAGCCTTTTACATGATGAGAGGGGGGAAATGAAAAATAAATTTCATCTAATGGCTTCCCTCACGTGTAATGACTAGTTAAATTACAAGTTGTTTTATCTGAAAATCTGAGTCTGTTGTCAACTGATTGTAAAGAACAAAATTGCTTGCCAGCGATAGACCTCAAGAATTTTTGGCTTTAAATAGTTCTTAAACTCACCAATATGACATTAGCCTTCTTTCCGATAACAATTCCAGAATTTTTAAAACCAGATACAAGGGCAGCTTTGAGCTAAATGAAATATAAATAAATACCGGTAATTTAATTTAATAATATTAATAATAATATAACTAATAATATTGTTATAATTGTAATATTATTATTATATACAAAATTTAATGAAATTATAGAAATAAAAATTATAAAAAAACTCATGTAAAATGATCCAATTTGATTTTTTTTTACAGGTAACTCACTCAACAGCACTCTGCAAGTTCCTCTTCAATAGTATATTTTGTTTTGATCTTTTCCACATCTGAGTAATTAAATCCTTTATTGCTGTTTCTTGTGAAATGTTATTATAATTTACTGGACAGGTATATATTGAAAAAAGCCAGTCACAACACTGACCTCAAGGGCCACCCTACCATGATTTATCCTTTCTGAGATTTCTATTTTTTAACATACTATTTATAAATGGAGGAAGCAACCGTACAACTACAACAAAACTACTGTTATTCTTGATTTAAGTCCGTTCTCCATCATTATGACACCTCAGATAAAATGCTTTACACAGGAAAAACCAAAGTAACCTTTGGCAAAGGCCCACATTTTTGTGGTTTTGTGGCAAAATGGCCAGCAACAGCTGTTTTGAATTAATAATGTCATCATCTCGGAATTCATTAAAAAAAATTAAATCATCACAAGCACCAAGTCTCTATTTGTGGCTCAGAATGCTCAAAGTTACATTCAAAGCATGTAGATTTCTTAGTAGTCTTCATGGTGCAGCACCTCTAGTTAGTTTGGACTACCTTAAAAAAAAGAATCCTTGTAGCCACCTTAGTTTATCTTAAAATTGCTGTCTACTCACCATTTGCTGACCACTCTCAAGGTCTTTACACTGCACATGCAAAACAAATGGTTCAAACTTGAAAACTGCACTTCCTTGACAGTGCTGTAAAGAATTCAGCTACAAACAGTATTGAGAAACAATGAATGGTGAGCCAATAAAAAATATGCCTAGGAATACTATCTGGGAACTACCAACAAGATACACAACTAGTGGTGCACAAGTCATGAATGTTACTTACAGGTCAAAATTAAATTCACATTAAAATTTTTTAAACTGGGTCTATTTGTCTCCTACAAAGCAGTTCTAATATATTATTCATGCATTTGGGCTATGAGACAAAAGGCAACAACCTGGGTTAAACTATTTTAACCTGAATTTAATTTTGACCTGTAACACATCATACACTTTCAGATCCTGTTTTCAAGAGATCTGACAACTTTGCTTTGTTATCTTATTACTTACTAATTCATCCTCATGAGCATTACTGTGGGTAACATACAGCCACTCGCAATGCCTTTTTCTCTGATCTGCAAGCTTCAACAACAAATAGTTATAATAAACTGGACACTTTTTCTGACGTTTAGGTGTTAGATTAAAGTGTTAGCTATAATGTTAACAAATATAAATGCATTTTATGCAAAGATTTGGTAATACCAATAACAAGAACTCACTGGCAAGCAAATATACTCTGCGGCAGTGAAAGAGGCAGCCTACAAAGCCCTTGTGTGGCCTCATGTGGAATATGTCAGCTCAGTCTGGGACCCGCACTTAAAAAATGTGTCAAACAAAATTAATAGAGAGAGTACAGAGAACAGCTGCACACCTCATTGACAACTGTGATGCGGGAACCGGGAACAGTTACCAACCTCTTGAACGAGTTAAACTGGATACTGCTGAAGTTACGAAGAACAATCAAGAACAATCTCAGGGTTAACCCTATTTCCACAAAGCAATTCATGGTGATGACGGCCTGGCTTTCCCAGACTATGTTATGAAGTGTGCAGAAGACATTCAAGTAACTCTAGCCAGAACAAGTTTATTGAACTGTCAAAGACTGGAAACGCATTACGCAGTGAAATTGTTAACATTAAGTCCACTTATCGATTAAAAAAAGTCTTATTTGAGCATTCTAGCTAACCATGAATTTTAATATTGTACAATAATTAATGCTATGAATATTTTTATCCCTTTTATCTTCAGTAGGAGATTTTGTCATCGCTATCATTAGTATTAACTTAATTTAATTTATTTAGCTAGACGTCTTGCATCTTGGCACCCTATTGCAAGACTAGAAATTTTTGAACAATGGTTGAATGACTGAATATAACAATCATGACAAAACAACTGTAGAATACCCTGCAAGTGCGAAGCTGTGTCCCTGAAAGAGCTGGATACGTGATATATGCGGATATGTAGTGACCGAGTATCCGCGTATCCACAAATGTTTAGGGTTGCTTTAAAGTGGCAGGGTATATTCTGCATTTAAGCTTTTTTAGAACCATAAAAAAATATAGAAATAAAAAATGTTCCGTGATTAACTGCCAACGATATATATTCTTTCCCTTGTCATATGGAAGTCTACAGAGGGATACGTGATGTGACCAGATTTACTTCAAAATACACTCTGTCTTCACCCGAGGCTAAAGGCTAAAAGGACCAGACATATTCCTTTATTTCACTAACCTCGGAGAAAACAGATATCCTTCCTGAGCAAGAACTGGTAGTAAAAAAGTTTTCTTGAGCATTTATGTACTTCACTAAATCAATTATTTGGTCATCTATGCTCCCTTTTTTGCTAAGATCTACTTGAGAAAGACAGGACTCTTTCTGCTTGTTGAAGGCGGCCATTTTGAAAACAAAACCATACATAAAGTGTGAAATGAAGTGAGCTGTAGAGCCGCTGGCGTGTTGTATGGTGGGCTCATCTTCTCTGATTGCCGCCATCCGCAGGCAATCCGCCATATTAAAACAGAACGAATTCTAGATTGTTGGCTGTAAAGATCCGTTGTAAACAGCGTTTCAAACTTAAACACTAGCAGCGAAGTAAAGTTTTTGACCATCATGCTTCGAAGAAAGGCCACTAGAATAGAATTGAGAGGAGAAGATGTAGAAGAATACGAGAAAGCGAAAAAGATGTGGACGAAGGATGTAAAGAAAGAAGAGGAGGTTAGCAAAGGACAGAGTTTTTTAGAAGATTCTCCTATGCCACTCAATGATCCACAGAGAATTGCAAAAATTCACGAGAGAATAGGATATAAGCCTGACACTGTGCCTAGCGATGGAACGACAACGTTTCTTTCTTAGAACGTTAGAAATGGCTCTGTGCCTAAGGCTACTGTGCTTCTGAGTGAGTCGCATATTATTATGAACTTCCAAAGCCAATTTGAAGTCGAGTTGGTACCCCTTATAGATGAGTGGACTCCCAGCAGTTGAGTATGGGCAAAAGGACGATTGCTATTAGATGATTATAGTTAAGTGTTCACCTCTAGGCAAACACTTGCTGCAAGATAACTTGCAATACTGTACTTGCATCTCATTATAAGCTTACATATTTGTGCACGTGAGGAAAGCCGATACTTCCAATCCAAGCATTCAGGAAAAGTTGGATGTCATTCCCCTTAACAGTTGTAGCGTTTTCTTGATTTATTTATGGCTTCACCTCTTGCTAAAAAGGCAGCAAGATTGATCAACAGTGGAGTGCCATGGATCTTACTGACCACACATTAATCAAGTTAATGCACCAATTACTCACTGGAGTCGTGACAGCTTTTAATATAATGATGACCTTAAGGGACAGACCATTAGAAAACTTATGGGGGCAGGCGATGGGCAAAATATTTTTGTGCAAGGGAAAATTAAATGAAAAAAATTCATGCATGCCAAGTAACCCTGAAAATATTCATGTACTGGTCTAAAAAAATTGATACAGAAGAAACAGAACAGTTCATTTTTTTCATTCTCCTGTATTTTTTCTTTAGTGCTTTAAAGTGACTGTTTAGTGATTGCTTAAGCCCCTAGGCATTCAAGGCAGCTGACTCGATAAAATTTCTGAGGTTTCTTGTGTGTTAGAAAAAATGTATCTAAAATATCTGTCTAAGGCAACTGTACATTAGATTTTATTCCTGATAAAATTATTGCCTCAGTAAGACTTTTTGTCTGGTTACAGCCTTGCTGCTTTTTCACACCTACTCATCACTCCATATATATCAGCAGCTGTTAGCAGGACAGTGATCTAAGGGATCTTTCGCCTTAGCTTTAGTTGACTGGTTGATCATTGCTATATTGTCACCCTCATGGCTCCCTCGTACTTCACAAAAAATTGGATAAAAAGATTTAACAGAGTTTTAAAACACACGGGAACTAGTGGACAGCTGCGTATAGTCACAGTTATAGTCAGCGTATGTTAAGCGTTTTACCGAATTTTGCGTGATCGTCGATGACCTACTACATAACAGAACAGGAAACCACGTTTTGCTGCCCATACTTATAATTTTTTTACCACTAATTTTTAGTGATATTGTCTAAATTGCCAGTCCAAACATGAAAGTTACTGCAAAAGCATGCAAAACGCCAGTCAAAGTTCTGCTAATCAATTTGCAAATCAAAACATTCAAGAATGAAGTGGTCTTCACAGGAATTTTTCACAGCCCCGGTCCAGTTTCGCGCGACTCGCTAGTAATGTTGACTACTCCTTGAAGCCTTTGTCTACGTCTTAGGACTTTTTGTCCGTGCACTGTTTTCATTAGAGACGTTCTTGCTTTGCTGTAGTTGATGTTTATATTAACTACGACGAAACGAGAAATTCTTGCTGTTTTTGGCATTTGAAGCTAACTTTTGCTAATCGCTTTGTTGACTTGCTGGTAGATCGGAGTTATCGCCTTGCAATTTGTTGTCGAGTACGTGATCCTTGAAGCGGCAGCCTTTGTCTACGTCTTCGGAGCTTTTGTCAGTACCCTTTTTTCGTTAGAGACGTTCTTGCCGTGTTGTAGTTGATGTTTATAATAACTACGATGAAACACGAAATTCTTGTTGTTTTTAGCGTTTGAAGCTGATAGAAGCTTTGCAAATAGTAACGACTCTAAGGTCATCATTCTTCTAAAAGACCACTCTCTGTCAAAGACAAACTCGTTATCGAGATAATCCCATTTTCCATTGTTCACTTGGTTTTCTTTTACTGTCCTCTGCTGCTGTTTACTGTCGCTAAAACTCTCATCGTCAGGTGGATAATCTGTATCACTTTCTCCCATGGCTGCAAAATTACTTGGCAGTCTTGTCACCTTACTAAACAGTTTATGTCTTTATGGCAATCCGTTACACTGCTTGGTGTTTTTACGGCAAAACAAAAGACTTCGTGAATAGAAAATGAAAGACCTGCTGGTAATTATCCCTCAAATTAGCATAACAACGGTTCTTTACGGCAGCTCTTTGTTGAATTTTGACCATATGAACTTTCTGGAATGCGGTGGAAGCCCCTCACGCCGCACACTTGACCTCGGGAAGAATTTTCACCTTGTTGCGTATAGAAAATCTCACTAACACTTAATACATCCGACTCGAACGATTGTGAGGTTTAGCTATTTTTTGCTTTTTCGATCGCTCTACAGCCCCGCATCCGCTTTACGTAACCTTTTTATTTGTGCGGGCCTCAGTCTCTCCCAGTAGGGAAGGTAATGTCATTTAAAATGGAAAGCGTTTATGGTTGCCTCACTTCAGCAGTCAGCGGTATATTATATAACCTCTGAGCTCGAGCAATGCTCGTTGGCTAGCCAATACTTCTGATATCAAAGGCAGCATGATCACCAAAAAATACTGCGTAAAGCTCTCTATGAAATTTGTCGTTTTTAGGCTGTAGCTGGATTGAACTTTAGCGATCAATTCAGTCCTTCGGTACGTGGAAACGAATTATTGGATCTTCTTCCGTGCTTTTCGATCTGAAACCCAGCCCCACGTTTCTCACTAAACTAAATTATTCCATTCTTTCCGATCATTGCCCTTTGGCCATGGAAATAGAAGAACTAGATCCCTCTACCACTCATATAAGAAATACCTTTTATTGGTTAATCTCACATAAATATCATTTTCCTAAACAAATTAAGTTCTGTTTTGTTTTTTCAAACAACAACGAAATAAATAAATTTATCAGCTGCCATGCATGCAGTCCTCAGCTATTTACATTTACAGAGATACAAGCACATGACGTCATTGTTTAATTCCAGAAAATACGCCGAAAGTGAATCAAAACTAAATACGTCAGATTTACGATAAAGACTGATAAACACGAGTACGAACTGATAACACTACAAGCAGATAGGACTTGAGTTATTTAAAGTATAATGGAATTTTCAACAAATCATGTTGCATGGCCTATATATGTACCTATCAAATTAAAGTTCTTCAATATTTCGTGACCTCTCATGTGTCATGATGTGTTTAACACTAGGCACGCGAGCAAAATTTTTTATAGATATGATATTAAACTGACTTGAACCTTTGTTTCGTATGCACCTCGCCAGAATCAAATCGACATAAGTTAAAAATATCATATACATTTATGATAAATTTAATGTCCCATCCTTTCGCTAAAGATTCTGTCGTAATGAGAACGTTTAATTCCATCAACTGTCATGAACTGTACAGCCCGGCATGGCATGGTCCGTTATTCCGCGCGTAAATCATGGGACGAGAGAATACGAATCCGAGTAGAATTTAATCTGATCACGTGTTGCCATGTGAAAAGTTATTTTCCTTTAAGAGTTTTCCTTTTGCTTTTGGCACTGGACTCTGGCATTTTTCCCAAGTTTTGACTGTAACCTGTTATGAACCCAACAGAATTTTACCCTCTTTGACAAAAGGATTATTGTCCTCAGTAGTTGTTCTGGCAGATGTCCCTTCTTCTCTATAATTCGGCGCTCTTTCATTTTAATTTGTAATACAGTTTCATCAATATCTTTTGTATTCTTTGCCAAGGAACAATATTATTCGTTGTTGGACGAAGGTAGTATCAGTCAGCTTTCTACAGTCTCTTGAAAGTCTTCTACCGAAAACAACGCCATCGTCGAAATAACTCTAGCTTCCGCCACGAACTCAGCGAACTGACTTCATTTTGTCCTCCCAGCGCACAAGAAAGCGAGAATAGATCAGGGAAGATAAACTGCACCTTCTTTTCAATGCCCATTCTGTGTCAAAGACGCACTCGTTTTCCTGCTTTATGGGGTCTGAATAAAAATCCCGATCACTGTCTCCACTTAGTTGTTCGCCATCGCTGTTTTCATGGTTAGAGTAACGCACATTACGTGTAGTAACAATATTATTGTCAGACTCATCATCGGCGAAACATTCTTCGTATCCATCCATTTTCTCTGGCTAACAACACAGTCAAGATGCAGAAAACACGCTGGCTTCTCGGCCAGATAAGGTCCAGATGGATGACGACTAGAAGCTACTTGTGAGTGCAGTGCGTCAAACACGAGCGGTTATTTTTCTAGATTGATACATAGAACAATAGTTCACTCCGCCCACGGGTGGATTAATCACCTATAAATAAGTAAAGAGCAAGTATTTATAGCAGACGTGTTCCATGGTCTGTTGCCAGAAAATGCTCGGCGGTCGGAGAAAGCGAAATTGATCAAACCACAACACCTTGATAAAAATAATAACAACAGAAAACAAAAAAACAGGGACCGACATTTGTGAAGTTTTTTTTATCTTTGGTGGGGGAAGGGTAATGTTGTTACGTTAGCCATTCAAGGTCCTTCAAGGTCAGTCAGTTTTGAGGCCTCGTCGGGTATATATATATTTTTTGTCTGCAAACCAACATCAGCGGGATTGCAACTTTGACAATGTAATAAGTTTAGATAAAAAGTAGACCTTCTCAGGGCCGGCGGAGCCGCTGGGGCCTGAGGTGTTTTAGCCCCCGTTAGTTTTTCCAAAAATTGAAAAAGTCCTCAGCCTCCCCACATTAGTCACCTAGTTAGTGCCCCCTACTCCTCCCTCAACTTGAAAAATGTTCCGCCTTATATTACCAGCTTCTTCAAGTAGGTTTGTTGACCGACTTCTAACATCTACATCTACTTCTCACAGGGTCCGCGTTAGGTCATCATTTAAAACTCTGCTCAAGGAGCTGATTCGTCCCCAGTCGCCTCTCAGTGTTCCATTTATACTGAGATTTAGCATTTGACGCAAATGGCAAACGTCATATTCAAATGGAGAATTTCTCAAAGTAGAAAACGAGCAGATAATAACAGTTTAAAACAATTCTTATGGATGAAAACAACGTGAAACTTCTTTTTTGTTAAAGTAAAGAACAGTTAAAGGCTAGCCTGTTCCAGGCGTTCAGATAGTAGAGCGCGGGAGAAAAATTCACCCCTCGTCTTCCCCCCCGTTTTTCCGGTGTACAATTTAACTTGCTCCCCACTGACCGCCGCGCTCTACCATCTGAAGATCTCTGAACGCCTGGAACAGGCTAGTTATAAAAGACAAATAAAGGGAGAACGTGGTCACGTGGCACAAATTCACGTTTGCCGTTTGCCGTAAACGTGACTCTAATATAAGAAGCGCGAGGGACCATGGGAAGGAGGAAAGAAGGGGGTCTTTCGAATTTCCCTTTCACCTTCCCATCGTCAACTTCGCACCAGATGCCGTGAGAGTCTCCCGTGACCGTCCCATGACCCCTTGCAAATTTACATGAATGAGGACAAGTCAGGTAAAGGAGGGTAAAGAAGGGTGTATTTCTGTATTCTTTGCCCTGACTACCCTGATCCTGGCTTCCGACATAGTTCCGAGGTCCGTCCAAGATATCCACTGATAGGCAGTTCATTGCAATTTATACCGCTATTAAATCGTATTTTATCGTATAAGATATGAACCATTTTATGTAGTAGAGATAACTAGGTGAACTCTCTTCTTAGACCCTGTTTACATGGAGTGGGGGACCCCGCTCTAGTGGGGTAGGTTTCTTTTGTTTTGTGTCCCTCAGAGCGTGAAAACAAAAGAAACTAACCGCACTAGACCGGGGTCCCACACTCCATGTAAACAGGCCCTAACTTCTCATTGTCGCAGCTTGATCCCTTGATTTTCCATTCGGCGGGTTTTAGAGACGAAACAAAAGAACTTCTTTTAACCAGATTGCACTAAACAATACTGACCAGTACTTTAAGATCCTTCGCAGTACCAGGTGGTGACACTTTCAGCGACCATAATGGTAAACATTTTATTTTTTTTGTCACTTTTTAGTGTCATCATAGAAAGATCAATATCAGCCGCACCAACGTTAAATACCGTTCAGGGAGCTTCGCATATATAGTTTTTATAAAATATGGGTCAGGCTGAGTGTAAGCCTGTTCCAGTTCACAGTAGCCGGCGTAGCAGGCATGCTACGCAGGCTGAGTTCACACACACGGGATCGCAATCCGGGCCTTAAATCAAGTTTTCGATACCAGTTTAGTTACCTGCGATCAGGCGTTTTCTTTCTTTTTGTCGGGGAAGAATAAAAATGGAAGAAGGACTGCCTGATTGCGGGTTAAGTTCAGTGGCTTGGTGTCGATGTCACCCACAGCCTGATTCGTTACTTGAGGGAGTTCTGGACCCAGGCCACAAATCGACTCTTAACAAGGTCACGTGTTGATTTTCTTCGCGTCGAGGATCGCATGATCAGTGAGACGGCGGTCGACCCTGTTGCATAAAATTATGATGTGGTTCGTTTGGTATTGGGTTTGGAAGTGGCCCCTTTAGACTATCGGGACAGGAAGATTGCTTGCCATATTACAGGTAAGACTATAACATGTTTATTCCTTGGCTTTGTCAAGCTTTATTTTACCCACAGAGTCTCAAAATAGGTCGCTGAGACGGATTTAACTTGATAGTTAAAATTGAAAAGCCAAAGCTGGTTTAAGTTTCCTTAAAAAAATGATTTGTTACAGATGCCCCATACAATTAAATAAGCAATTTTGCGTTCTTTATAACTCGCAAGGAATTTTCAATTTAAAGAACTGACACTGAGTTAGTTTCCTTACATTTTTCTTTGAAAAAATCAGTAATGTATATTTTAAAATTGGATGACTTTTATGGCACAGTTTCGAAACTCCAATGTTCGAAAAGTCATTTACATGTTGATCTTTTAAGCCGTTCCCTCGATACCTCGAAGAATTAACAAGAATGCATATTAATTTACCTAGAGTATTGCTGCAAGCAAACAGTATTTTTCTTGAAATCTGAGCCAACTGTGTTCGTTCTTTTCCTTTTTGCTACAAAAGAATGAATTGACTTTTGTATTTTTTTCCCACCTTTCAAAGGAGGAAAAATTATTTAGAGAAAAACGACAACGTTCCGTGCACGTTTTTTTATTGCTTCTCACTTCCGGTTTGAAGGATTCGAATGCGCGAGACTTCCGCCGAGTGACATCAGCGGAGAACCTTCGTAAACAATGCGTGAAGTGACGTGGCGGTACAGTTCCTCAGTCATTTCAATGCGCGGAGACATGAGATTTGCAATGCAAAATAGTTTGCCTTTCTGTTAGTGTATCCTTGCTAGAAATTTGAAGATAATTCGAGCACTGAAATTTGATGTTCTCCTCAACTTTCTGGTGAAAGTTGGCTTCTTCGCCTAGCGGGGAAGACCAATAGTTCCGCCATGAATGGAAGGGGGTCATCTGATGTGCATTACACTTCGTAAACACCGTGAGTTTCCTTAATTTGATTTCACAAGTTCTGAAGTCATCCTTTGATGTTCTAAGACAAATGGCCCGATTCCCGGGCTTTTTCAACGCGACCCAGTATTTTGGTAAGTACTTTGTTTCTGCTGGAACCCTGTCGGCTATTGTGCACCCCAACCTGTTGACTCCACTCCACCGAATCTTCCAAAGTTACCAGCATGTTGTATCGCAATCAGCATTTTACATGGTCTATGAGTGAAGATGAATGAATATTGGAATTATATATGCTCACTTAAGAAAAGAGAAAATCAAAATTTTGAAGCAGGTTTTTTCTATATGATTCAGAGTAGTTTGCTCTTGTTTCGAAATTAACCAGGACAAAGTTAACTTCCGGTAAAAAGATTTTCTTAGAAGTGCAAAGGAGAAAAGTTAAGGTAAATTGATTACAAATCAGGACAGCAATTTGTTAGTTAGCTATTAAAAAAGCCAAGTATTTTAAATTTTTGAGTCACAGATTATATTTTCTTCAAATTTTTCTACAACATGTTAGTGCGAAGTTAATATGTGCAGTTTTCATGTACAAAATGTTATCTTCGTCAGTAAAACTTAGAACATGTTTATAAACTATAGATTACAGTTTTAATGCTAATCGTCGCTTGAAGTACTGTTTGTTAGGTTTAAAAACAATCTGACTTAATGCTTGCCTTGTCTGGTGTAAATAAATATTTCTTTGATTGTTTTGTTGCAAAACCTAACAGAAAATGCATGAAGAACTTTTAAGTGATTGTTTAGAGTTGTGTATCATAATGCTGAAGTCTTTTGTGGAAAAGTGACAACAGCATACAGTCCTGCAATTTACAAGTTGTCACTTGTGTTTGATACATTACAGAGAAGGATTTAAGCCAAATAAGATGGTTGCTTTTGTATATCAAAGGGGCTTTCTAAGCAGAGAGAATGTTGTGGTTAAATCAGGTTTTACACACTCTACAATATTACCAAGAGTCTGCCGTGGATTTAAGTAAGCTTGGCATGCAATCATGTGTGGGGTTGGGAGGGAGGGGGCTTATATGCTGTTGCTTTTTTCGGTCATTTCTGAGACTGCCTATCACGTGGTGGGTTAGTCCTGAGGCCATATTACCTGTCGTTTCTTCCCCTTGGAAGTCCTCTTTGAAGTTCAAGGCAGATTTCAGTCTTGCAATCTGGGCACCCAAAGACAAAATTGACAGCAACGAGTTGATTGTTCTAGCAATATTAAGTGTATTTATATATTCTTTCACTTTCAGGGAGCACAAATTCGGCTAAAGATCAACAAGATTCCTTTTGGGACCAGCAGTCTGTTAGGTATTGTTATTGGTTAACTTGATCTAAGTACAATACCTGAATATCCCAATTTTTTTTAAAAAGTTATTTGAATAGATGTTACAAGTTTTTCATTGCAGTTGCAAGTAATTTACCTTAAGTGTCACTTCTTTTTTCTAGTGCGAATCATTCATCTGGAGTTTTTAATGGGAATGCTGCACAGCCTAACCATTTTATGAACAACACCCAGGTACTGAAATTGTTATCATACTTGAAATTAAAATACAACATCCTGTTAATACGGACACTGTCCAGATAGTCTACTGCAGGGCTGTCATTAGGGAGTTTTAGCATGGACGACGGCTATGGCAGCGAAAACGTCACTTTTACAATGAATTAGTGTGTTTCAAACTTCATCAAGTTTATTCCAATATGCTGAAAATATCCAGTGTAGGCAAATTTCCCTGGAGTTGATTTCTTGGGGACCGCACTCTAGTTTAGAAAGAGAAAGACCATTTCGTGGTCGCTTGTTTATGTACTCCATAAAACGTGAAATTAGGCATTTTTATGTCGTAGTCGTGCAGCAATGGCAAAGAACGTACAAAAAAGCATAATGCACGTGCGAACTTGTTGTCTTTTCTTAATAAACCTATTGCTATTTTGAAATTCTCGTTGCCGGCGCAGTCATCGGTGCTAAAACTCCCTATTAAGAGGCGGGGGCTGAGGATTTTCCCCGGCTGCTGTGAACATGGCCACTGGCTACTTTTAAAGGAAAATAGAAGAACAAGTAGAACCAAAAGAAACCCCTAGCTGTTTGATTCCCCTTCTGCTTGTTGTACTTATCCATCAACTTCAAATCTTAGTGACAACCCTGGTCAACTGTCTACTCATAGTGATAGAGTTTCCATACCTTTGTCAACATCTGGCTACTGAAACCTTGAATGCCCGAAATAAATTTTTAATGTTATTGTGTTGCGAAGTTAAAGCAATTTAGGTATAAGTTAAATTTAACAACAAACAGTGTGTAATGGTAACAATTGCATACAGGCAAACCACTATGAAGTGGCCGTCACCCCTTATATAGCAGCCAGTTATCCCTTTTATGTGGACATTGGGACATTTTTGCAGTTTACTTGTGTATCCAGTTATCCAGTGTGATGCATACTAGTTAACACATTCCCAATATATTTCAGTAGTTGATAGTTGCTCTTAGTGTAACTATAAGTAATTGTTGGTTACTTAAAGATTGAAAAAACAGTCTTTTTTCCTTATATTTTCAGGAGTACTTTGTGGATGGATGGGAAGACTGGCCTGATGATTTTGACGATTCTGAAATTCAAGAAAATGAACTAAACAGCTTTAACCCAGTAAGATATAGCTCTTTCATATTTGAAAATTATCTCGAACACGAAGGAGTGGAGTAGATAGAGAATAGAATGCCTTTGCTTTGGTCTACGGAACCAAAATGGGCTGTTGATTTCAAGCAAATGTTGAAAATGGTGAAGTGAAAGTTTAAGCAAAGTATTGATGGGCAGAATGGGTACTTGGTCATCTCTGCCATTTGGCGTCAACATGATTCTTTAGGGAGCTTAACCAACAACGATGGCGATGGCTATGGAAATGTCACTTAAAAAGTGCAATCGCGCTGCTTCAAACTTTATCACACATATTCCATCTCGTTCAATTTACCGAATGTTGGCAATTTTCGCTGGAGTTGAATTCTTAAAAATGGTATCAAAGTTCAGGAAAAGAAAAAGAAAGTCATTGTCTTGTGTTCACGTCTTCCATAAAACGTGAAATTATTAGGCATTTTTCACATCGTAGTCGTGCAGTGATGGCAAAGAAATTTACTGAAAAAATGTGGTGCATGTGCAGAGCTGTTGTTTTGCCAATCTGAACTTATTGCCTTTTTTCCGTTCTCGTTGATGTCGCCGTCATCATTGCCTCAGCTCCCTATTATCTCTCTATTATACCAATGATACAAACAACTGGGTGAGAGCTTTAATTTGAATGGTCAGGCCAGAGGATTCTCTGCATGCATTAATGAGAAATTAGAACTTACAACTACGTTATACATTGCATGTTCCTGTATTTTTTTTTAAGGATAACATGGTGTAACTACAGTGGCAATGATGGCCAAGCAATACTGTTAGCTTCACATTTTTAGCCTTTTGTTTTGTTCTGTAAAATACCTGACTGACAAAGTCAAAATTTGTGTTGATTTGTTTTCCAGGGAAGTGAAAAATTGGTTGTGCCAGACCGTGAAGATAGTCAGACCTCGTCTTCGGAGGAGGATTCACCTCCCCCTGGTATGGATCCTGAACTGAATTCTTGGGTAGAGGAAGAGGCCCCCGACTATGGCTACACCTCATATCACAACTCAGCTGCTTCATTTTTTGATGGAGATTTTAACACTCAGCAGCCTGGTATATTGACACAGGTTAGTTTTTGTCATTTTTGTTCTGTAAATGTATTTTGTAGGTAGTGCAGGTACAAAATGCTCTTTCAGTAAGTCAACAGGAAACAGTGGTGCCACTGGCCACCGTCAGTGGCGGAGGTTGTCAATGTACAGTGTATATATGTATTTGTATTTATTTGCCACACATAACACAATTACTTATAAAATTTTACAGTTTAAAGATACAAAAAAATGTAGGAAGAAATGGCGAGGAGGTCTAAGGAAACTATAAAGCTTACCGTAAAATTCTGAAAATAAGCGCCTCCAAATATGAGCCCCCCAAACTCGTAATGCAAAAAAAACCCTCTGTTACATTGCCCCTCTGAATATAAGCCCCCTATAAGCTAGCCCAACTGAGTTTGAAATGCAAATTTCCCTCCATACATAATAAGCCCCTCTGAATATAAGCCCCTCCAAAAATAAGCCCCTCAAAAAGGGCCTTTGAAAAACATAAGCCCCGGGCTTATTTTCGGAATTTTACAGTATGTTAATTAGGCCTCCTCAATTACAATTTTTTCAAAGATGGCATAAAAATTACGGTGACAGATACAAAATATTATCAGATGGAAAATTAAAATAACGATCAGTATTAAGGAAGTTTACAAATGTTGAATATTAAACAGCTTTTTCCCAAGATTTTTGTTGGAGTATACTACTAATAATTATTACAGTTAGATGTTCTAGCGTTGTTGTAGCAGCAATTTTGAAGCTTTGTTGGGCAGGCTCTCTTGTGCTGTTTTGGTGGAGTAGTCTTTTCCTCCCTCCCCTTCACTCCCTGTGTTTTGTTTTCACTGCTAACTGTATGTAATTGTACTTGGATGCATTTTAAAGGTACTAATCGCTAGGTTGTGGGGACTGCCACTCATAGAATGGTACTTAGTCTATGTCCTAGCTGGCAATTCTGTCGTCAGAATAATGTGTAAAATACATCTTGTATTGCTGTTTTGTAAAATCGCTGTTACAAAATTATTTTTCATAGTTTAAAGCGAGCTGAAATTACTTTCTTTTTTCCTTATTGTCTAGCATGATGGAAGATCCTATGCAAGTGTTTGTCAGACTGGTACCACTGCACCACCTGATAACAGTCCTTCATTGCAGCCGTCAAACAGCCTTCAACCAGACTACTGGTCATCTGCAACATTCCAGGATCCATATGCTGTCCAAGAGGTCAACCCAGAGGGTACTGATACCCAGCAAAATGCACCAACTTTTGAGTCGTGGAGTCGTGAACCTGAGCTTGGCAGCTGGTCTCCTGTGTTTAATCATGATGATGAATCATTTGCTAACTCTACGCAGGAGGTACCTTCAACACTGCCTCAGCCTCTGCAGGTTGCTGATTCCATTCAAGAACCACAGATCAACTCGTTAAGACCTAGTGAAGAGCCGGATGCACATGTACCACAACAGCAAGGTAGGAGACTCAAATTTTGTCATGTACATCCTAACATAGCCTGCACCACAGATGAAACTAAACTCTGGTTAAGTCTGTCTGTGAAACAGCCCTGGAATCCTTGTTTTGGTCCCCCAACTGTGTACTAGGATTAGAGTACGCTCCATGATTGGCCTGTTAAAAAAGCCATTGTTGATTTGTCGATGAAGATGAAAGGAAATTTGAAACGCACTTCCGGTGATTCATTGAGTTCGTTGGGCACCCAGAACATGGATTTCGGGGCTGCTTAATTTGCAGACGATACTAACCAAGGTTAAATAATGTCTGTGATGCAGGCTTATCCTAACACTTTAAGATTTTAACTACCAGAAGGCGTCATTTAACACATGCACTTTTTTCTTGAATGTTATAAGTAGTTTCAAGTGATTTGTTCAAGTGTGTGATTGGTTATCATATGACTGGCTCTGCGAGTGGTTAAGGTGAAGTGAATCCTATGTTCTGGCTAGCTCCCCAAGTAGGCGAGATAGGTCTGTCTTGCTCATTTAGGATCACCCGCTTTGTTAGCGCAAAAAATTTTATTTCCCACCACTTCTGCACTGTGATCTTCCTGGTACCTTGTTATTAATTTTCTTTCATTTGAATCTTTACAGCCACTTCCTTAGCAGCAGACTTTTTTGGTCATAATGAAGGGCAGCAAGACAGTGCTTGGTCTGCACTTACTGAATCTGACCCACAGAAAGCAGCTTTGTGGGGGAACCTACCAGATGTTCACCCTCTTTTAGGTCATGTACCTGTTGAGAATAGCCCATTCCATCAAGACGCAGCTGCAGTGAGTCATCAGAGCTCATCTGGATTATTCCAAGAAACTATGGCATCCGAGCCAGATCAGCAATCCTCAGTGCAGCAATACCCAGGAATGGAAAGTCCATCTGGGGTATTCCAAAAAAACATGCCTTCTGAGCAAGATCAGCAATTTTCATTGCAACAATACCCAGTGATGGAAAGCCCATCTGGATTTTTTCAAATCAACTCAGGCTCAGAGCCGGTCATCAATGAAGACAATACCTTGGGTCAGTCGATGAGCCATCCTAAGTCCATCGCTGATTCAATGCAAAATGACCCCGAGGATCTTTCTGTGGCAGAGGAAAGTCCATCTATGCAGCCATTACATCAGGATGCTGATTCAGTAATCAAACAGTCATTCTCTGCTGAGCAGATGCAGCCACAAATGCAAATGTCATCTGCTGTTGTAAATGAGGCATTTTACCCTTCTCAAGAACAAGGACAGCAAATGTACAATCCAAATCATTTTTATGACCAGCAGATGAAGGCAGATCCAACTCAAGAAGAGAGGGTTGCTTCTGAGGAAACACATCAGACAAAAGAACCTCATTTTGATGAGCTGCAACCATGGCAACAGCCAATAGCTGATCCAGCTAGGGAAGTGGAGTCATCGGTTGAAGAACCAAGTAATTTGCATCCTAGTCATGATAGTTCGGCCTCTGAATCCTCACCGATGCCACAGGTTAATGAACTTCCTCAAGAACAAGTTTTTCTTTCAACTGGTGCCATTAGTGAGCAGGAAAGGTCCGATATGGCTCAAAATAACTTCCTTCCTGGTTATAATAAGGCAAACTCAGAACCCACACAGCTCCAAGAGTTTGAGATCACTCCAACAAAAACTTCTGAGCAGTCAGCCATTGCAGATGATTTTCAGAATTCTTTTGACCAAAATAATTCAACTACAGATTCCACACAGCTAGTTCCAGCCATTGTATCTTCAAGGGGGTTTTCTGGACAGTCAGTGACTCCTGATATTTCATATCCATCAGATAGTGTTCAGGGATTCTTCAGGAATGAAAATATAACTTCAGAATCTTCACATCCATGTGAAACTCCTCAGCAGCTCATTAAACCAGAGATTCCTGGTGCTCCTGACATCCTTCAGGATTCATTCCACCATGACAATTCAAGTACAAATTCTTCAAATCCACTGGAACTTAAAATGCCATTAAGGGAATCTTCTAAACAATCACAAACACCAGATATTCCTATAGAGCCAGACAGCCCTGGGGATGCTCTACAGGCTGCGTTTCTACAGAAACAACTTGCTGGAAAGGCACCAGCTGCATCACCACGGACATCCCTGTGGATGAATGGCACTGTGCTACCAACTCCCTGCGTTTTAGCGCCAGCTGCTGTTGTTACCCCAGTTGAAACACCACAGTTGCACGAAAATGACCAAGCTCCCACTTGCAACAAACAGGTATGACGTTTGTTAAATGCCTGGGTGAGTTCTTAGCCCTAGAAATCCCAATATCCACTTACAAATTCTAAAGACTGCTGTCCAGAAGAAAATAAAAAATGACACTTTTGCTCAAATCTTAGTTAAACTGTGCTCGGACATGAAGCTTTTCATATGCTGATCATGATTTGGATGTTAAATATCAAAGCCAACCAAAACTGAGAGGAGTGCGTGTGTTCAGTTGATTCAAACAGCCATATTTTTATTCAAATAGAGTACAGTGGAACCTCTATAAAATGAAGGCCCAAAGGAATGACTCAAATACTATGTTGACTATGAGGAGGTTTTGTTATGTTAAGGCTTTTTTCCACATAATCTGCTATTACCGGGGCAAAGAATATCATTAACCCTTCAGGTCCCCATAGTGACCAAGATCAATTTTCTCCTAACAATATCCATATGTTACCAAGAGAAATGGTTATGAGAGTTAATAAAATGATCACCTAAGAAAAAATGCTTTGATCTTCTACCAAATTCTCTCAACTTATTCCTTAAGGAAATGTATAAAGACCAGTTTGGAGAATTTGTATGTGGATATTGGGGCTTAAAGGGTTAATTTTGTTATACTGAAGACTTCATTATTATAGAGGCTCATTATGTTAAGGTTCTACTGTATGAAAGGCTTGGTGTGCGAATCAAATGTTTGGCCCAGCTATCCAAAGTTTGACGTATCCATTCTTGGTTGATTTAGATGTACTTTAGACTGTGTGTTATTTGGACTCCCGAAAAGCTTGATGTCTAAACTGTGCCTTCTGATTTCTAAGCTCTAATATTTCTTGACATTTTTTTTATTCCAGGAACCACCATCTTCTGTTACACCTATATTGATGCAACCTTACAGTGTGGACAAAAACATCCCTGCTGTAGTCAGTCAGCAAAGTCCAGCAGTCCATTCTCAAGGTACATCACTCCCTGTTGTCATCCCTCAGCAGGTGCCGTCTGGAGAATTATCTGTTTCTGCAAACCCTTACAACCAGGGTAGTGAGCTTCCTTCTGCGGTCAATCAACAAATACCACCTGCTCCATTTGCTCCAGGACCAACACCTCCTCTTGTACATCCTGATAGCCAGGGAGTAGGGCATCCTGTGGCAGTCAGTCAGCAGATGCCGCCTGCTTCATACTTTGGCGGAGTAACATCTGTGTCAACAGTCTATGATGGACAGGTTTCAGAGCTTCCATCAGCGCTAAATCCTCAAATGTCTTCAGCTTCATCTGCTTTTGTGACAACACCCGTGCCTACACATTCTGACAGCCAGGGAACAGCACTCCCCCCTGTGACCAATCAACTAATGGCACCACATGGACAGTCTGTCAGTGGAGCATCTACCATGTCCATACACCCAGGTAATAAGGTTACAGAGTTTCCACCTGTAGTCAATCAACAAATACAACCTGTCCCATCTCCTCTTGGACCAACACATGCATTCATGCACTCTAGTAATGAGAGTACAGCAGTTCCTGCAGTGACCAGTCAGCAAATACAGTCATACAATCCTGTCCCTGCCGGGGTAACACCTGTTCCCACAGGCTCTGTTAATGAGAGTACAGTGCCTTTTACTGCAAATAATCAGGAAATATCTTCAGTTCCACCAACTATCAATGACTCTATGCAAGAGCGACATCCTAGTCGTGTGGTGCCAGCAATTGAGTCATCACCAGTGGCTGCAAAACAACAACAAAAAGCTGAATCTGCTAATCCCATGTCATTAGCTTCTCTTCTTCAGGGAGGTCAACCTCGACCAAAGAAAAAGACCTCACAACCATCTGCAGTACCTGCACCAGATGCGGGACCATCCTTTGCTGCCGTGGATTCGGTGAATTCATTTTCAGACAATCTACCCTCAGAATCCGTTAATTCACACTGTGCTCCTTCTGCTGAACAACTTAACAGTGGATTAGAACCAAAGCCTCCGCAGAACTCATCTCAACAAATTGGACATCAGTCATTTGATTCTCCTAGAAGACAAGATGAGTCACAAAATTCTTATGAAAGAGATTATAATATCCCTTATTCACAAGAAAAACAAAGGGTCCCTGATGAATCACCCTATCATGGTACTGCAGACCCCCATGATAGAAGGGATAATTATTATCAACATGATCAAAGAGACTCTTATAAGAGCCATAATAGAAGGGATCCTTACCAACATGAACATGACAGTAGAGATCTTGATAGACCATATTACGATAGAAGGGAACCTGAAAGAAGGAACTTTGACAGGAGAGGTGAATATGACCGAAGAGATAGCGATTACGGTCGGAGATCATATGACAATTCTAGGGAATATGATAGATGGAGTTATGATGGAAGAGATTATGGCCGCAGGGACAGTTATAACAATCGGGACTCTTATTATGACTACGGGTACTCTCCCAGAATGGGAAGGCGTGGATACAATGATGGCCGTGGCTCAAGAGAAGATCTATACAGAGGTTCTAATCAATACAGTGGACGCAGTACACCATCGTCACAGGACAGAAACAGTCCAGGTCCATATGATTATTCTGCTTCTCCTTATGCATCGCACCAGTACGGATATCCTTCTTACACTGATTCACATTCCATGGACCTTTATCAGTATCAGTATATGATGTACCTGTACCAATTTCATCCTCAACATTACGAGCAATATTGCCAACAGCTGGGATATTACAGCTCAGGATATACACCAGAGCAGCTAGCTCAGTACTATGCGGGATATGGCTACGAAAGTTCACAGCCCACACAGCAAGGTAAGGATTATATTTCTCTTTTGCTACAGTCAACCGTCTCTTAACTGACACCTCTATAAGATGGACACCTAGAGTTGGTCCCTGCCTTTTTGTAATCCTTTGGACTCTCTATAAGATGGGCATCACTCTTAGACAGACACTTTGTGCTGGTCCCTGTCCAAAGTGTTCGTCTTAGAGAGGATTCACGGTATTTGTGTAGAGACAATAATTTATTCTCTTTGAGATGCACCTCTTGCTGTCGGTCTTGTGTAGAGGAGGCATCAGTTAAGAGAGAGTTTTACATGTACATTTTTCTTCCATATTACTTCCTAGTAGCATTCAGTGGACCCTGGCAACTACGTAGCATTTTGCTTTTGGATGATAAGGAAATATTAGTTTTGTAGGTCAAGAGCTGTTTTACTCCCTAAAATTTGTCTTAAATTTACACATGTCAAAGTTTTATTGAATAATGTCCCTGGCAAGTGATAATGAACTGAAGGGGGCCTGGAATGAAGCCCTTACAGTGACTTCTGATAAAATGCAAGATTCTCTTTTCAACTACAGCTGTACCTTGTATTTACTTGATAATTAGAAGGAAAATTTGGTCCTAGATCAGTAGTCACTTAGGGCCTTTCTTTTTCCTGTTTTTCTGTTTTCCTGTATATACTTGATAATAAAATGGCAATTTGGTGTTAGACCAGGAGTCACTTAGGCCCTTTCTTTTTCCTGTTTTGTTAGGTCCAGAGCAAGAGGTGCCTCAGCCTGAACCAGAAAGGTTCACGCCACTTTTATACCGGGTGCAGCATCCTCTGGTGCGCTTTAGTGGGGGCAAACTGGTATCTTTAATTGGAAGTGAAGACAGTGAGACACCAAAATGCACCCTAGCTTCAGTTCAGGTGAGACACTTAATGATTACTTCTGTTGGTAATTTTCGTTCAACATAATTTTTGTGAAATATCCATCCTCTGGCCATCCATATAATTGCTCATGGCTACTTTATTCCATGCACTTTATTAAAGTGCTGCATTGTTTATTAAGTGTTTCAACTTTAGGGAGCAGTGCTTATTTGGGGGCATCACCATTTATGATTATGAAATCTTTCTTTCCCTTGCTTCTTTGTAAGCTACTGATAAAGGAAACAGTGTTATTCTGTCATTATTTTGAAACTTTGACTTTTATGAAGGTCTTGTTTACACTTTGCTTTGCTTTGCCTGGTCTTTGAATGTTGGATTTTTCAGATAGATTGCATAACTAACAAGATTTTCTATATTCTTTCAACATACAGATGGTCTTTAGCATTGAAGAGACAGAGGTTATTAAAATCTTTCCTGGACCACTTTCAAGGTTTGTTTTTTTTCTGTAGCTCAGTACTGAGTGCGAGAGATCACGTTAAAGTTCTAAGAAAAAAGTTCCAAAAAGTCAAAGTTAAAAAAAGATTTGTGGTTTTTGAGGATCATTTAAATGCCCACTTAACAACAACGATAATGACAACAAAACTTAATTGAGAAGCGAATAATATAACAAAAGTAATGCCTGCAGCGCTAGCTAGCATTGCTATTCAAGATGGGACAAAATGTGTGCAAAAAAAAGAAGAAATTAAGATTAAGGCTATAATTAGGAAGTCCATAGAAATTGCCCTAATTCAGCTTGCTCCAAGACTAGATGTTACTTCAGTTTACTAGTGTAAAGTAACTGTTGTGAGAATCTCGAGACTGTTTGTGTTCTTTTTGTAGCCGGTACTCAAGCAGAACTGAGGTGATGGCATTCTGTGAGAAGCGAAGCTGTGGAGCCATCTTGACCACTGATGGTGTTGTAAAATCTTTGGTTTGGAAGGTCTTGGGCAGTCTTGTTAAACACAATGGAGTAAGTAAACCTGTCTTGTTGCACTTTGAATCACTGCTATCAGTACCACGAGATCAGGTTTTACCTTGTAAACTTAGTTATAAGGAGCACGCCTGCAAGTGTATATTCACTTAGCCTGTTTTTGCCCCTCCAAATGTAATCCCCCCAAACTCATAACACAAAAAATCCTCTGTTAAATAGCCCCTCCAAATATAAGCCCTCTGGGGCCTTGTACTTGGAAATTTCCCTCAAATACAAAGTAAAACAAAGCAAAAACGGTAAATTTCCTTCCAAATATAAGGCTAGCCCAATCTATTTTCAAAAAAACAAATTTCCTTCCATAGATGAGCCCCTCCGAATATAAGCCCCTCAAAAAAAGGGCCTTTGAAAAATATAAGCCCCGGGGCTCATTTTCGGAATTTTATGGTATTTAGCATGAAAGTGCCAACTGGGGACACTATTTTTACGTCACCTACTGGAGACGGAACCACCATTTTTTGTTGTCATCCAAGCCACACGAAGGTCCAGCTGTTTGCAGTGCAAAAGGAGTGCCTTCATTTCTCAATTGTTTTAAGACCCTGAGTAATGGTCTGGCCTCGGGAAAAGAACCCGTGACCTCTTGCCCTGCAGTCAAGCGCTCTACTGACTGAGCTAATCCTGCCGCGGTTTGCATCTTTAGGCCTTTGTGGCATGTGACCTTGCTGAAGTAATAATGGAGAACTGGAGAAGTTCCAATGACCGTGGGGAGAATGACTTTCTTGCCCCTGAGAGCTTGCCTCCTACAGAGATTGATACCAACCAACATGTGATGGTATTCAGAGAGATGCTTCTGGCTGGAGCAACTAAGGTAAAGATTGTGAAGTTGTCTTTCAAAGAAATTAAAAGGTGTCCTATTTTTTGTCAGCTGCAATTTGGCGAATGCTGCTGTTGTTTGTCATCTTGGCTAACAGTTTTTGAGCTCTAAGTCTTGGGCATTTTGTTTTGGAACGCTTACCTAGTGTCATCTTCTATTTTATCTCTCATGGTTTACTTCTCGTAAGTAGCCATGCAAAATGCGAAGATTTAAGAAGTGTTTTTTTTTTCACAAGAATAGTGTAGCAAATAGAGCAAACGTAGAGATCAGACCATGCATCAAGAATTCAATTACTTACAAGAGGTTAAAAACGAAAATGTCTTTTACTAGACAGCTCTCTAAGCTGCGACCATTTTGGTCTCCATAATAAGTGGAATAAAATGATGGTAAATAAAATTGCAGCAGAATCCACTGATTTGCCTACCTGTGACTATAGCAGCCACGTGCCAATCGGGAGCATTTTTATCAGTTGTGTTTATTGTCTTTCTAAAGCTTATAAAATGAGGGAAACATGCATTTTCATGACATTTTCTCCATTTCATAACAAATTTGCATCTTACCCTGGTTGTGTAGGTAGCCCTGAGATGGCCCTGCACCTCCAAATTAGTTAGGCAGTTATTTTCATTACTTCAAACCCCCATATGCAATATTAAAGAAAGTGTCCTGTTTTGTTCTGGTGACCAATTTTTTATGTTTGGCAACCATTCAATAATTTTAGATTGCCAAATATATGGCAACTTTGAAAAATTTGAGCTGACAGCACTTGAGATTCTAACCACAGGGCTTTGACTTTGAAAAATTGGGGCGTTTTTTGGTTTTGTGGAAACCATTGTTGGTTCACTTTTGAGTTGTGTTGTCGGTTATTATTCAGCTTTGCATCCATTCTCCTGCATCACTCCAACAAAAGGTGCAACTTTTCAAAGTGTCAGCTTTAAGTGTGCTTCTATATTGCTGTGAGTCTGGGGTCCTAACATCCAACCTCTGTCGTCAACTTGATTCTTTCCAGACGTCTTGCCTTAAAATCATACTTGGTGAGGAAGTCTATGGTAGCATGCTGGGGACAGTCCCCCTTTCCCAATCAGTTAAAGCCTGATGGCACCCCCAGGGGGACCTTTTTTGTAAATATATGCTCCGACACATTGTAAACCAAGACTTGGTGGACCTAAAATTCTATTCCACAAATATGCTGGAAAGCTAATCAATCCAGAAAATCCCCCCCCCCCCCCCCCCCCCACAAATCACTACTTTTGAATAAGACCGCAAATCTAGGGGGGACTTGGGGGTGAAACCTGGTGACACATGGGGCGCCCCGGAGATCAGATCACCCACGGGAAGAGGAAGCACTATGAAAGAGGTTCGGGGGTGGGTGTCAATCTGATTTTTTTCAGGCCTCTTGCCGTAAAATTCTTCCTGGGTGGGAAATCTTTTGGTGGCGTGTGGGGGCAGGCCCCCTTTCCCAATCCAGTAAAGCCCGGTGGGCCCCCCCGGGGGGACTTTTTTGTTAATAAATTCCCCGAACAAATGTAAACCAAAAATTGGGTGGACCAAAAATCTTTTCCCCAAAAATGCCGGGAAGACTAAAAAACCCAAAAAACCCCCCCCCCCCCCTCCTCACAAAATCTGTACTTTGGCATAGGACTGCAAAGCTTGGAGGTGCTTGGAGGTCAACTCTTGGCACCACTGGGAACCCCCGTGAGTGCCTCAGCCAAGCAGAAAGAGAGAGAGAGATCTTTAACAACAACAAAAAGCTACCAAAAATTGGTGTTTTTGTATTGGTGGTCACTTATGGGATGTCAGGTCTCACAGAGAGGGTTGACCGTATATCAAAGGAATATTTATTGTAATTTAATAACATTAACCAGTTGTCTATAATATTGCCATGTTTGTTGTTTTTCTTCTGCAGGATGCTCTTGAATACTGCATGAGATACCGACTTTGGGGACATGCTATGATGCTATCGTTAAAGCTGGATAAAAAGATTCAAGTGGAAGTGTCCAATAGGTAGAAACCTGTTGATAAGTCTCACCTTTTTATGTGGCAAAATTATCTATCAATTATTGAAACAATAATTAATCTAGCCTTTGTTAAATGATCGCAGGTTTTTGAAGACCATGACAGACTTTGATCCAATACGGACTGTTTATGATCATCTCTCTGGAAGGCAACCTGTAGCATTAATGGTAAGTTACCTTCAGGGGGAACAAACCAGATGATACATGTTTAATGAAAGAGTGATTTTATTTCAAAATGGTTGTGAACCTTATGAGTAGTTGACCTGCCCTAACTGAAGATCTCAGGGTCACTCTGGATTTCAAGTGACGGGGATGGTTGATTTGGGGCAAAAATCAAAACCAAAGAAAATCCCTAGCACTTCTAACAGCCCCCCCCCCAAAAAAAAAAAACAAAAAAACAAAAAAAAAAAAAAAGATACAGGAAGAGAGGTTTTTTTCTCGAGATTGTGTATAGGCATGGGAATAGTTAAACGAAGTAACAGAACGAAGCCGGGGACAATAGGGATACAAAGGGAGGGGGGGGATAAATAGGACGAAAAAAAAAAAACAAAAAAAACCACAAGACCCTTCAACAACCCCACCCCCCCCCAAAAAAAAAACAAAAAAACAAAAACAAACAACAACAACAACAACAATGAAAAAACATTGACCATGCAAAAGTTAACCCAAAAATTTCCTTACTGAATTTCCGAGCCTTATTAACTGGTTTTATGAAACAGATGCAATGTAATGCATTGAATATTAAAACAGGCACAAAACAATGCAGCTGGGATACATGGGCACTAACACTAATCTTGAGATGGTTTTGAAGACCCAAAAATCCCTATATAATCAGGAAGCCACCCAAAAACATACTTGCCAAATTTTCCAACCCCCCTAAAAATCGAGGAATAAAAATTGCGAGCCCAAAAAAATGCTTTGATAATCCCCGTCACTTGAAATCCCGAGTACCCCCTTCCCCCCCTGCACGCCCCCAAGCTGAAGATCTCCAAGCCTGTACACTTTCAATAGTCTCTTTAAATTAGACTTAGTTGTGGACAGAAGCCAATAGCAGAAGATTCAAAGACATTTGTAGAAGGGATTTAGTAATTATTTTTTTTTCAAGAAAAAGATCTTGGTCCAAAACTTTTTTCAAGATCTATAGGATTAATATTCTCCCATCAGAAGTTAAGGCATGACGATTAATTTTTAACGTTTTTTCTTTCTTTCTTTCTTTCTTTTGTTTTTTTTTGGTGTACTGTAGGATAATAAGAGACTAAAAAGTTCTTATTTGTTGTACTGCTTGGATTTTAAGTTTACTACAGGCAATACCGTTGTCAACAAAATAGAAATTTCTAGATTGGGGGCATTTATGATGTGGGACAAAAACATTTTGTTTTTTAACTGAACTGAACATTCTTTTTTAGTTTGTTTACTTTGTAATCCTTTTCTTTGTTTGTCAGACCCCTGATGACTGGCAAAGAAGCTTGGCAGCAATGGTTGCCAACCCCCCTCGTCAGCATCCACAGTGTATCAAGAAAAACATAACATGTCTAGGGGATACTTTGAGTAAGTGTTTTAATCAAAGTATTTGCAAGTATCTATAACTTATAATCCTTAGATTGAGGCTGTGTGGTCAAGCTGTAGTGGTGCTGGACTTGGAATCTGTAGGCCAAAAGTTCTAAACCTAAAGCCCTGCTCTGGCCATTGTTTCTCATTAGTACTGAGTTCAACTCCGCAGCCTTAAGGGTGAAAGGATAAAATTGATCAGTTTGATTTTTATCTGATTTTCTTTCTCTTTCAGTGTCTAATGAACAGGTGTGGGCTGCACATCTTTGCTACCTGTTGGCAGGGGAGAAATTTGGCTTTCCAACTGAGGATAAAACCAAGATGGCCATAATGGGAATTGACCACAGGTAAAGCGTCAATAAACAAAATGTTCTATCTCTATCGAGAACATGACAATAGTAGTGTTGTTGATGTCTTAGTATTAACATTGCTAACACCCTTGTTTTGACTTGACACCATGAGATAGCCACTGCATCTCATGATCTGTACAACTTAAAAGACGCTTCAAGTTACCTGTAGCATTTAATATGGAATAGAACCCTTTAGCCCCCCTGACTGACCAACATTAATTTTAATTTCACCTTAAAGCAACACTGTTCAGTTAAAAAAGTTGATAAGAAATAAGGAAATGATCAACAGATGAAAGGGTCTTGATCATTTGACAAATTCTCCACACCAGTACCATAAGGAATGTATAGAGAACAGCTAAAAGAATTTGCATTTGGTAACCACTTATGTACAATCCATTTCTGCAGTCCTAAGTGCTCACTTAGACCTAGAAAATAGTTCATTTATTGGTGTTTTAATGGCTTCTTTGAGAGCAGGTTATACAACAATGGTAAATCCTGCCACTGGAATTAAGAATTAGTCTTGGTAGTTTTGTTCTCGTGATAGTTTTGAATTTTTCTAATCCTTTGTTTGTCTTGTGCATTTTAGAACCAACAAAATTGCAGAGCAACACCTTCCCTTGGAGAATTTGCAGATGATGGAGGTATGCTGTGAAATGTTCAATTAAATTTTAATTGAAGATTTAAGAATCTTTCAGCTGTTTTGTATTTTGCGATATTTCTGCATCGCTTGTTGCAGTGTTATAAATAATTCTAATTGGTGATTTTTTTATAAGGTCCTAGAATATGCCATCAGCCTCAGTGATGAAGAGTTCTTTATTCCAGTCCTACAGGTTTGTTTTTTTGCACTGTAATTTGTAGCATGTGTGTTAACGTGCAATAATTTTGTTATCTTTTACCATTTTAAGGGTTTGTGTATTCAAGCTAGAGTCTGCTTTTTAAAAAATAATACCCATTTTGGGACCTTAGAGGTTTGGTTTGCACATCCTTGTACATACCATCCTATTGAGGTTTTAAAGTGGAGTTACAAGGGTCAAGCAGTCAGCTTGCTCTGTTCTAGACCTACAGGGCAATATTTTGAGCTTTGGTTGTTGGCACAGGACTGTTTTGAGGTAGTTAACTTTGTTCTACACTGCTTTACTTCTCAAAGGCATCTAAATGATTATACTGTACCTTTGCAATGGGCAACAAATGCCCACTTATTTCACTTATTTCAATCACCCCATTCCCTCGCCCCACTCGATCCATTCCGTGCCCTTTCTTCCTGAAAAGAGATAGGAGTGCCTTTAGGTGTTTCATGACACAGGAAATTAACTTTACCCTTTGGTTTCAAGGCACCAAATTGATGAGAACAAAAGTTAATGTTCCAGTCTCACTTGTTGTTTGTCTTTCTCAGTCATTCAAATTTGTACATGCCAGTAAGTTGGCGGAGGCTGGTTTCACTGAAGAGGTGAGCTCTAAAAATGCTGAGTGTTAATGTACTTGCTTTAGAACTAATAGCTTCATTCTTTAAAGCTACTGGCATTAGACAAAAAGGCAAACAAGTTACAAGTCAACAAAGCTGAAATATTTTTTATCAGCTGCACTGCTTGTGCACTTTTGACAAAATTAATGGTCTGGCTAATGACCTTGCAGTATTAGCACCATTTTATATGATATTTTGAATATTAATATTATTATTTGCGTGGGTAGGATGCTTTGCTATACTGCAAGTTAGTTTATTGTTATTCATAATTCTGAACATTTAACATTTTATGAACTGAGGAAACCAGAATATCATAAAGCTTGCCTGTAATTGTTACAGCCTTTACAGTTTGTTTATTTAACTAGAAAATATTATTAATAGCCTGAAGATTTTGTATTACAAAATTTTTATTAGCATCCTACCAATGTTTATTAGTATTACTATGTTATGATTATCATCATTATTACTGGCAATCATGGGTTTTTTTCCATACTGCAAATGTTCTAATAATAAATGATTACTCTTGTGAATAATGACAGACTTAACAGATTCCATTTGATTAACTAAAGATACAGCTAAACTTGTTATTATAATGACTGTTTTTGCAGTTTATTGACCAGACTATTTTGTACCTTGTTTCTCCCTTAACAACAACAACTTTTATTGACCTATTATACATAAGAAAGATGAAATTTACATGCAATAAAAATTAAAGCTAAAAGGGGTGTTGGCATTATTGCAGGCTCTCCACTATCTAGAGCTCATTGGGGAGGTGATTATAAAACATCCCACTCACTGCAATGTAACATTAGTAAAGAATGTGCGAGAGGTATGTTGAAACTAATGACATAATATTTTGGTTTAGTATTAAGTTGCATAAATGGGTATAGCTATAGTTCAAGTTATATTGCTGTAGTCATTGTTTACAATTCTGCTTATTAGCATACAAGTTAATGCAAAAGTTTAGAGGGCTGGTTAACTTGAGCAGTTTGTGAAATTTTCAGTTCTTTGCTTGTTCATTTAACCTATTGCATTTTTGATGTTCTCATTGTCATCACTTTTGTCACTGCTTAAGCTCCCTAATGTCTTTGAAATGACAGCTAACTCTAATTAGTGGTCCTTTACACTTTAAATGGCATTGAGCAAGTAAACATATTTTTTAGTTATTTAACTCCATGACGAAAATGGTCAGTGAGGAGTAGTGTCCATGTTAAAGACATCAAAGCCATAACGTGACATTTGGTAATGTATCTCTTAGACCAAAAGTAATGTCCCTAATAGAGGGTTTTTCTTATCATGGAGGAAGACATTTGACTGTATTGACTCTTCTCTTCAGCTAACTGATCACCTTACAAGTGACAATCAGGAGGCTGCTGATCTGTTGGAGATGCTTGATAAGGTTCTTCAAACCAAAGAGGTTAGATAAAACTTATTTATAATTTAAGCTGTTATTGTAAAACTTGCAGTTTTGTCATTTTATGGTACAAGATCATTTTATTATTTGCTTTTGAGAGAAAAGCTGCCTGCATTTTGTGCTTATGTGCTTTGACACTTCTCACTTGTAGACAACTTCACAAATCAGCAGTTCTGTGACAGAGAGTGAAAGTGAAGTGGAAGAACCTCTTGCAGAAAGCTCAGCATCATTCTTCTCAGGTTATGACCCCTCTACTAACACACCCAAACACCAGCCAGAGCAAATGGATGAAGCCCAGCACCAGCTTTCTTACACTGAAACATCGATGAGTGCGCCTTCAGTGGCCCAAGAACCACCAGAAGTTGAATATAAGCAAGATTACTGGGCAAATGGCATGCCCACAGGTGACAACCAGGAGGCATTCACAGGAGGTTTGGATGCACAGGCTACCCAGCCTGAACTCCCCTCGGCCTTTATTCCAAAGGCACCTGAACCTGCTCCACAAGTTCCATTCTTTGTTCCTGGTCCAGCTGTGGCACAGCCACTTCCTGTGCAGAATGAGCAAACAGAGACAGTTGAGGAGCAGCCTGTTGTTAATGGCAGACAGTGGGCAGAAGAATCTAAGAAGGTTGAACCTTTGCCACTAAAAGGTATGTACCAGTGTACAGCCAAAATTCGGGGCACTTGTTCAAGTAGGTTTTAATGATGGGGGACAGGGTGATGAGGGGTGGGGGGGGGGGCTTATTTAGCTTTCAATCTTTGTTTGTGGAAAAAAAACGGAGACATCTGGAAATAGCATTAATTGGAACTGCTTTAATGGGAAATGTTGTTGTATATTGATGCCAGTGTTTTAAAAGTTATAAAAGAAAAAAAAAAGAGGCCGTTGTTATGACCTTCCCATTTAAGAAATTTTGGAGATTGTCAATAAGCATGCCTATTGGGGAGAGAGCCAAGTGGTGTGGGGAGAAAATTATAATGCTTGAATTTTCGAACCAACATTTTTACAACTGAAAATAAACAAAATCAGCAAAATCATTTCGGCCCAGTTGAGGGCTGTCACTAAGATTTCAAGTTGCTGGGTATTAGTGGGCAATAAATTTTTAAAGTAGGGAGTTCTTGGCTCTATTTTCTTTTGTTTCTTATGAAAGTAGCTGGGTGTCATGCTCATAGTAATTGAGGGAAACCCCTGGCCCTCAGCCCCTTGTGACAGTCCTAGTCCAGTTCCTTTAGCAATCTTTAGCAATAGTAATGGTATATTACTTTTTCCTGGTTTTTTTCCTGGTTTAGAACCTGATGTTCCAAAGAAGACTGAATCAGCAGCTAAGCCAGATGAGAAGAAAAAGAAGAAAGAACCTGCTGCCCGCAATAGCCCAGTTAGTTCAACTAACTTTTTATTTCATAACCTCATCCTTGTCTTTGACTTTTTTGGCAAATAGCACCAAATGAATTTGTGAAATTTTTGAAAAATGGTAAAGTGAATTAAAACATTGACATTAAGGCTTAAGATGTTACAGAAAAATCTAAACATCAGTCCATAATGTGACCTTCCTTCCTGACTTTTCAACAACTAAATAGTTAATCAGAAAAAGCTGACAGCTATGTACTGTGACTGGACAGCCTTTCTTAAAAACTGAATGAATGAGTGAATTTGATTTGTTATTGCAACTACTTGTCACTTTGTGTTGCTAAAAGAAGTGCTTTTGTTCTTAGATGGGTGGCTGGTTCTCTGGCTTGCTCTCAAAGGTGATTCCTCGTGGTCCAAATCAAATGATTCTTCCTGATGACAGCAAAAAATCGGTAATAATAATAATAATAATAATAATAATAATAATAACTTAATAACTCCTGATAATCTACACATGGCCCTCCGTTTGACTGTTCATGCGCACTTGAATATGCAAAAATATGGACTGTTTTGCCGTCTATCTTAAAGATAGGGCAGTGCCATTTTTGGTTTATTTTAAGGGTAAGCTAACAGAACAACTTCCTGGCAGTGCTTTTAGCCCCTCTGCTGGAGTTGTTGAATTCATTGTTTCTCTATCATTTCAATCTTATGCAGATTTACTGGGATGAGGATCTTAAGAGATGGGTGAACACAGATGAAGATGGGCAGGTTTGTATAGCTTCTCTGCTGGTGTTACTGTGCTTCAGTAACATGCAACCGCTGAGTCAGTTTTGTTTTCATTTTAAGTCACACAAAAAGTGAAAAAAAAAAGGGTAAACATGTGATTGATTAGTACATAAAATGTAGCTAATTGGGGAACTGACACCTTCCTGTAATTTCCAATTGGCCTCTATTCAAGCTAAACTATTTACATGAATTTAATTGCATTTGTATATATGTTGATTTTAACAGCAAGCAATTTCTGACAGTTTATCTACCAATTACTTTTTTAACTTGAAAATGGTCATGAGTGAAACGTTGAGGGGGCGGGGGTGGGGTTTGGTAAAGGGGGTGTTAATGTCATATTGAGGCGACAGTTCCTTGTGGGAAGCAGAAGTTAAATGATTGTCAAAGATGCATTTGTTTTATATTGAATGGTTTTTGTCTTGTTACATTTCAGGACAATGCTCCTCCACCCCCACCCCCAAGTGACATGCAGCTTGGTTTTGGCCAAAATCCCATGATGCCATTTGGAAATGCCACTCCTGCCACTTCAGGTATGTGTTGAAATTTGTTTAAAAGGATTTTCTTTCAGTCATCTTTGGGAGAGTTTTTATTTAGAGCACCATGTTTGATATGAGTGATAATCAGTATAGTTTTAATTGCACAACTACATCCCAAATTTGTCTTAGGTTGTATACCTCCTGGCTTAGGTTTTTTAGGACTGTGTTTGCCATTTCATCAACTTAAAAAAATTACTGATTTGCAGTCTAGTGTGTGTGTCAAAAATCTAAGGAGAATTTCCATTTCTACTGGTTTTTGTCACAAATATTTCAGAAGGTTTACAACTTGTGAACCGAAAACCAGTTAAAAACTCTTTATAACACAAAGTTTCATTTGTTTGGGATTTTTCTTTGCTCTTCGCAAAATCCATTTGGTGTTAGTTGTTGTTTTTTGTAAATTTGCTGCAAATTAACGATGTAGGGAGACCAAGGTTAATATTTCATCACAACATGATATTCCAATTAAAATTTCAGGATGGGGGGGGGGGGGGGGGGGGGTTTGACGTCAACTCGAGTTGTAAGGTCAGGACCAGGCCATACTCGACGCTGATGCACTTACAATGGCGACGAAAGGGGAGGGGGGGGGGGGGTGGGGGGGGGCGTATTGTTTAACCATGCAGTAGTGTCTGTAAATTAGAATATTAGCTAATGCTTTTTCCTTCAAATAGGTACTACAACCCATAGTGTTGGTACTCCCTCATTCCCTGGGTCTGCAGCGCCCCAGCAAGCTCCTGGAGTTACCCCTGGTGGTATGGCCACAGCCACACCTCCTGCTGTTTCTAAATTTTCCAGGAAAGCCTATGGAGGAGGAAGACTAGGTGAGCTTTAAACCAATAACAGTTCAATTCAGTTCCTTCAAATATTTGAATCAGATTTGATAAAACAGATGCTAATCCTCTTACTCTTAAAAGTAGGAAATCTCAAATGGGAAAAAAATGCTTAGTTTCCTTTTGTGTGATACTGGAAAACAAATAGCACCATGTGAAAGTATTAGTGAAGAGGTTTCACTTTAAAGATCATACCATGGGATTTCATCCAGAGACTTAAAAATTAGACGTAAGAACCTGGCAAATAACATTAGAACCATGAGAAGGTACTGCTGAAGAGGTATCCCCCCGTAAAATTCCGAAAATAAGCCCTTAAATCGCCCCTCCAAATATAAGCCCCCGGGAGCTTGTACTTGGAAAATTGCCCTCAAATACAAAGTAAAACAACTTGTTTTACTTTGTATTTGAGGGCAAAAACGGTAAATTTACTTCCAACTATAAAGCCCAATCGATTTTGAAACGCAAATTTCCCTCCGTAAATAAGCCCTTCCGAATTTTAGCCCCTCCAAAAATAAGCCCCTCAAAAAGGGCCTTTGAAAAATATACGCCCCGGGGCTTATTTTCGGAATTTCACGGTATTAAAGTGGCCACACCACAGGATTTCATCCTCAGAGTTAAACGCTGGAACCACATTCATGTTTTCATCAGGTGATACGTGCAAGTACAGCTTTTCACACATTAAATGTTCCTTCTTTTTTCCCTTCAGCTAAGAAGTATGTTGATGTTCTGAACCCCACTGGACAGAGCTCAGCTAATGGTCCAGTTATGCTTCCAAACAGTCTTCTCCCTACCTTCCCTGGTCCTACTGCAGCCATTAATCCGGCAACGCTATTTGTGCCTACTCCTGTGACTGGTATGAAGGATTTGTTGTTGACATTTCCTGTCTTTTAGCTTTTTAAACTCTATCATAGTGCCAAATAAACACTTCCTCAATTGGCTGCCACGTCAAGGGTGTCGTGTAACCTGTACATGCGTAAATAAAATAGAGGCAACTTTTACGTTTACTCACGTCACTTCATACATTGCCTCTATGTTATTTACCCGCATAGGCACGTAAAAATTACGCGACAGTGGAAATTCACCATTGGTCATTTAAAAGGATAAGCATAGAATACTTAAAAGAACTTCCTTTCCAACCAGTAACGCCTGACTGTAATAACTGACACTTGCAAAACGTTTACAGTATGCTCTCGAATGTTTGCTTTTAGATCCTTCCTATGAAGAGCAGGCGGCTACTGAGCCTGTTGTTGCTAATCCCGGTTCCCGCCCATCATCACGGTGAGTACATTTTTCAAGTGTTAGCCTTGCCCAGTACTGATCAGTATTAAAACTCTCCTAAATACATTAGTTCCCCGTCACAAGTGGAAGTTGAGCCTTTTAGACACAACAAGCAAACCTGAGAAATTTTGTAAATTGTGTTATCTAAGGTCATCAGAACTGTATAGAGACTGGCTTATGTTATAATCAGTCATTATTCCTTGTTGATGTCTTTGTTATTCAGCCCTTTATATTTTAACTTTTGATTTCTTACAGAAATGATGAAGACGATGGCGCTGATCAGCAGTCACAGGTAAAGAAAGCTCCTACTTTTGGAACAAAAATAATTACGAAAATATCTGTCTGATTGCGTTGAAACGTGGCCACTAGGTTTTCGCCCGGCGCCGGGCGCAGCCCTGCTCCAGGCCAGTGCTGTGTCCAAAAAGTAGGGGACTTGGCATCTTGGTTGGCACAGCTGGATAGCTCAGGGACTGCCCTAACAGTGGATGGGTGGATCAGGCCTTGGGGGGCAAAACTAGTGTGGTAGGGAGGGGGTTATTTTGACACAGCCCCTTCAGTAAGAAGCAGTGTTCAGTAGAGGCTTTGACTGGCAAGTACCTTGTTCTTACTTTGCCCTAGCCAACTGAATCAGGCCTCTACTGAAAATGATTATCATGATATTTGCAGAGCTCAGTGGGAGGCGCAGACAGTCACCCATTGTCTGTGTGTGTGTGTGGGTGGGGGGGGGGGGGGGTGGGGTGGGGGGGGGGGGGGGGGGGGGGGGTGAAAGTCTTGGTACCATTCAAAGACATACTTAGCATAGGACCTGTAGACACTCACTGAAGCCATGTTTACATAAATTCAGTCAGATATAAATGAATAAACACTTTTATTCTTAACTCTTAACTTGCAATAAATGGTCATGCTTTTTCAATAACAGTGAAATTATTACTCTTTATAACCTAAATTAAAGAACAAGAAAAGCTGGTAATTTTAAATTGGTGTTAAAATTTTTTTCAAAGTAATCATGTGAAATGATCTCATGGATAACGTAGATACCCTGGATGTGTAATTTTATTTAATTGTCGTTTCTGATAAATTGATAATTAACAAGCCCACAAACTGATGAAATTAGGACCAAAAAATGGCTAAAAATTGGCGAGTTACAGGTGAGCAGCTGAATGAGACTGCTGAAATACGTTTATGTTTCTTGACGTACAAACTGTGTGAATAATTTTATGTCCTTGCTAATTTCTTTGTAATTATTGTTAACTATTGGGTACTTGAACCTGTTCTCGTTGAATACTATTCAGGACATGTGGAGTGTTTTCTATATCACGTGCGTGAGCTGTGTCGTTCTTGTATTCATCACGTGCAGTGTTGTTGATTTCACGTGCACAGTCGTCTCTTTCTAAACGTCCCCTTTTGATTTCAGCATTCTCGGTCAAGCTCGGTCTCCCTAACTTCAGCAGAAGTTCGTAGCTACATGATGCCTCAGGTATTTCACTGCATTCTGCCTATGTAACGGTTAGCTCAGGCAGAGGCAGTGAAACAACAGTTCATAGGCAGATAACATGGTCTAGTCAGACTAGACGCTTAGGCAAGACCAGGGTAGAGAAGTACAAGAGTAGCTTTTAGTGGGCTAAACAGGAACAGGTTAGAGGGAATAGACAATGTGGAATTTCTTTTCTTAACTAGACAGTCTAAATTTCAGTTTCATCCTGAGTGACATAAATGCTTTTGCTAATTGCATTTCCCATTTCAAGTGTCTGTCTGTTTTCTCACCTCCAGTGGACACTTTCAGCGAACCAATAAAAGATCGGAGATAAATTTCCTAGCTAACTATTTAACCTTTAAATATTGTAAAATTTTAGTTTTCCGTTCAGCTCTCTGTGACAGCAAAGTAAACTTGTGCTCTGATTTAACTGCCTAGCTAATCAAAAACTAAACTAAGATCCCTCCGTGCCCTGAAATTTCTAAAAATACATTTTATAACGTAAAGGTGCGGAAAAATTAAATTATTACGGAGACTTATATGTATAAAAATAGGAACAGCAACAGGTGAATAAGGTTATATTTAATTTTCCCCTTACTCCAAAGAGTGGCAGAACTTAAAAATGGAAGGAAATCTTAACTTTCATTTTGTGAAATACTGAAAAACAAGTGATACCATGATAAACACAACAGTAGGGGTTTCACTTGAATGGTAGCATCATGGGGTTTTAAACAAGGATCAAACTCGCAATTCATTGCCGAGTTTCTTGTTGGCGGAAAAATCTCCCGCCATTTTCTTAACAAATCAGAATCGTGACTTGTTGGAACGCTTTTTTTGGCGCCTGCTTCACGTATCTGCGATGTAATTGGTTTCTTTGATGTCAGCTTGAGTTGTGATTAGCTGACATTCATTGAAAGCCGCTCTCTAGTCATTAGCACGTCTGTCTTTTTGATGACCACCATTAACTTTTAACAATACTTTTTTTATTATCTCAGATCCCAGATCCTCCTCCACAAAGCGCTGCTGCACCAATGTTCTTTGACCCGTCGGCTTTCAGCCAGCCCAAGGCTCAGGCTTCTCCAAGAAAGTCGCGCTATCCGGGTCAAATAAGAAAGTGAACTAATTTATCTGAAATTTTCCCAAGGATTGAAGATTTAAACAGTTGTCTCTTGATGTATTTTAATGATGCTTTGATTTATGTCCGCCCCTGGTTAAACAAAAAGTTTGTTTGTTTTTCAAGTTTTCAGCTGACCTTAATGACGCATCAGAGCCCAACCTCGTCCCCAGGGCTTTTCCCTCCAAAAATGGGTGGGGCGGGAATGAGGGAAAAGCCCTGGGGACGAGGTTGATCAGAGTAAATCTCATCTTTCTTTCTTTCTTTCTTTCTTTCTTTCTTTCTATTCTCAGTGATTCTTCATTTCCACTGAAATCAAACTTTTTTCGTTAGCCATATCATGTGGCTAATGGTAATTTTTATTTTAAGGAGATTTTTGAAATCCACTCGTATTTTTTTGCGCCTTTAAGAGGCAATTGCTTAAATCTTCAATCCTTATTAGAAACGTCCTTATGAAAATGGAGGGGGGAATTGCTATTTAATTTTAGATTAAATGAGGAACTCAAGGGGTTTCTCGCGAAAAACGTGCTTGAAAAGCCCTCATTTGCACTCTTCTTGATATATATTTATACATGGATAGAAGGCCAGATTCTCGAACGCAGTAGAATAATTTTGTAAAGAGCGTTATTTCTCCTCCAGTGACCTATCTTGATAGATCAAGTAATATCATTTTTTAATATTATGATTATTTGTATCTTAATAGTGACACTCCAAGAGTGCATGCTTTCGATTTCCTTCTTCACCACATCGTAGTTTTGATTATTTTAAGATTCTGATATTCTGTTGTATTCACGCTGTTTGTTTCCTTCAGAATAACACGTTTTAAAGGGAGCTTAACTTTTTCTCTTTTTTTCTGAACTGAGCTCTTCAAATGAAAGCAGATTATTTTCCTTCATTGATATTTGAATAACAGCTAATTTTCTCTCGTGATTCGATTTCTCTGTTCCTAAAATACGCATTTTACTTACGTTTTTCAAATCACTTTTAAGCAAAGATTTAGGCCTCAAATAATAGTTGTAATTATCTTGTCTTTAGATACTTTACGATAGTTACTCTGCCTTTAAATACGTTAAAGTTCTCTGGTCTTTAATTTTCACTTTGTTGCCCTCTATTGTATAGAAAAGAGCCAGCGTAGGAATACCAGCTCCACCAGTAGCTTTTGCCAGGGTGGCTTCTGTCCACATAGCGTGGCGGTCGCTTTCTATCGTCGACTGCCAGCTCGTTCCATCTCATTACCTAGATTCGTATAGGGCCTTTTGTGCGCTCGTTTCTTACCAGTTCTTTCCGAGGTTTGTATTCCATCCGTGCCTTGCGTGGTAGGTTTTCTAGCACTCTGTATGTCTTCCGTTGCCCCGTTTGGCTGTCGAGCTTTCCGTGCACTCAAACCGGATCGCGACCGGTTTGTTTTGCCTCTCTCGCAGCTAGATTGGGCGACAAAATCTTTCTCTCTTTTCCAGTCGCCCCAGCTTGGTTATTGAGCTTTATCATTCAAACCTGTTCGCGACTGGTTTGTTTTGTGGTCTCTCAGTAGCCAAGTTGGGCGACTGATTCTATCGGTGAAGTTCTCCCAACTTAGTTGTTGACTTTTTCCGTGCATCAGGCCTGTTCGCGACTGGTCTGTTTGCAGTCCCTCAGCATCTAAGTTGGATGACAAAATCTATTTCTTTTTTTCCAGTCACTTCAGTTTTGGTTGCTGAGCTTCAGTGCTTTCAAGCCAGATCGCGACTGGTTTGTTTGCCATCTCTCAGTGACCAAACTGGGTGACTAGTTTGTCTTTCTCTTGTGCTACCTACTGGTGAGGCACATTCAAACCTCAGGATGGTTCACTCTGGCGCGCGGGCTCAGGTCCTTTTCGCTATGTGGACAGTTCTTCGTAAGCGACACTATAACTCTGATTGTAGGAATAGGCTGCTGGCTCTTCCCTGTAGAATGGAGGGCTACTCATTTATATTTTATTCAGAATTATACTACAATGCCTGTACTTCACAATCTAGTATGTTCTCTTTTTTTTTTTAGTTTTCGTCACTTTTTTACGTTATGTCTTGACTTTGTTTCTTGAACTCAGTACAGTCGTTAAAGATTCCAGTTCCTTTTAGCCATAACAAACAACAGCAGCAAGAAAATCTAGCGCTTGCCCTCTGAGGGCACTTCTTTACGTTGTTATTCGAGAATCTGGCTTTAAAATTTTACAGAGTGCATTTGGAGGGCTTGTAGCTTAAGGCACCGAATGTTAAAATAAATGAAATAATTAGCTTGTGTGTTGTTTACTGTGTACTTTCCTCAAGATAAAAGGACTAGTTTTATGGCCTGAGGTACCTTGTTAGGGACAAAGCTACAAATAATTTCTAAATGATGTCTCGGGAAATTTAAGAAATAAGTGGGAAGTTCGAGTGGGAGGGGGTTGCTAAGGGGACTTAGGGCGGATCCAGAGATGCGGAGCGCCTAGGGGACTAAGGGTGGACCCGGAGAGGGAAAGCGCTCAGGGCCTGTAGACGGATAGAGCTAGGGCGGACCCGGAGACGCGGAGCGCCCAGATGACTAAGGGCGGACCCAGAAACGATCATTGATTGGGTTTGGTTGGAGCCTTCCGTTTTATATTGGAGGCGATTTTTTTGACTTGCGTTCTTCGTCCTTTGTTCTTTTTTCACTTCCATTTGTTTGGTTTGGTTTGGTTTGGTTGGTTGAATTTTTCTCTCTCCCCGCCGCGTGTCGCCTTTCCTCGCGTGGGGTGATTTTCACGCGCGCTCGCGATTCGCTCGCTCTACTATCCCTGAGGAAAAATGGGGGACTACTCGTAGTCTAGGGGTTGCTGGAAGTCCAAGCTATGTCACGCGTTGCGTGACATAGAGAGAGAGAGGAAGTGAACTCTCGGGGAACTGGGGACAACAACGTCATGTACGAATACTGCATGTGTGACACATGCAATCATGTTGCGAAAATAATGGCCACCCAACAGCGCAGAGAACGAAGAAAATGGATAGCGTAAATCGACACACTGCTCGTGAACGGCCTGTAAGTAGTAAGGAACGAACTAAGTATCCTTGAAATCAAAAATCGATAACTATATGTGAGAAACATTCAAGGTCTTTTACTACCTCTCCCTTTTGCTCATTACAATCAGATGAGCTTGCAATACTGGCCAAGTTTTGTTGAATCACAAAACGAGCCTTTTAATTTTGTCACAGCTTCTCAACTCTCCTTCCTATCATTTTTGTTTCTGTCCAACCCCAGTGTCCAGTTCATAATCTGCAACTCAATAGTGCAGGAGGTTCCTAGAAAATAATACAATAAGCAGCAATAAGCTTACTGACATTATTGTTTTGAACAGGCCAAAAAAAGTCCATGTTTATGGAAATTCTAAATTGAAAATAAGAAAATACAGCCGGGTTAAGTCTCATCACTTTGTGGTGAGTCTCATGATTTCATGACTAAGTTGACAGCTGATTTCTTATGCTTCTGGAAAAATCACACTCCAACAAGTTTTGAAGCATGTGAACGGTTTTTTTCCAAAATTAATTTAAACAATGAACTCAATCTAAAGAAGACATCTTGCATTCATGTTTGATCAGGAAATTTTCTGAAGTGACAACTTGATACATTGCCTTCACTTTTCAGCCTACTCCCGTCCGAACCCCATCACAATTTGCTTCTAACAAATGTGCTGCTTTAGCTTGCTTCTGCTTGCTGGTACCTAATGTGCATGTTCTTTGTGTCCAATAAATAGAGGATATTACATGGTCACTGAAGAGATACAAAATTTCTCTTCGAGTGTTGAGCACAGCGAATGAGTGAAATATTTTTAAACACCTTAATCTCCCAGTTAGGATAGCTGCCAAGTGAACAAATGTTTACAGCACCATTTGTCAGTAGTAACAAAGTAGATTGATGACAGGGTTTGACAACTGATTTCCCCAGCTTTCTCAAAAAGTAACACTTAAAAAAAACCTTTTGAGCATCTCTAGGATTCATTTCCCCACTGGAAGTCCTCTCAAGAGGAAATTTGGGACATCTCACAACGTTTTCCAACACTTACTTCTTTTCCCAGCTCTAGGTTCAGAGTCTCAAGATTTTTGCTTCTTGGGGGTTAGCAAATCAGGAAATATCTCGATTATAGTACCACTTATTTATTTCTGTCAATAATTTATGACTAATGTTAGTCACATGTTATGAATTGGATGATGGTTATCAGAGGATGTACCCTGTCTGATTTGATTTTATGAAAACAGCGCAAACATAGTTTTTAACGTCTCCCACTTTTTCCTGGCAAGAACTTTTGTAATGTTACACATATTTTGTAATACAGTCGAACCTTCTGTAGGTTGAAAACTCAAGGGCACCCAGTGGCTGTTTTCTGTAAAATATCCTGTTCAAAGAAGCAAATATAATTACCTAGAATTTTGTACATCTTAAGGATGGCAAAACATTTCTAGATGATTTTCCATTCATGCATAAATATTTGAAGCTAGTCTAAAAAAATTCCCTATGATTTAAGTTTAATTTTAGCATTTTTTCACTCCCCAGGTTTAGCTGTTATTTGAAGAAAAAGGAAACCAAAAATTTTGGGAATGGAAAATGTGATAGACAGAGTAATCAGCAAAATTCTGACCATTTGTGAAGCTTGAATTTGCGACTAAAATTTTCAGGAAATAATATTGAGCGAGGCCCTTGCAAATGTGAAGTCTCAAGTTGCCCTAAATTGGCAAACAGATACAAATTTTATAGCACCACTTGAGTGCATTTCTAGATATTTAAAAGTACTCTGGGAGCCTAAAAAGAATTTTCAGTATTTTCAGAAAGTTTGTTGGATGTCGTTCAAAACTTAGTGGTCAATATTATTAAAGGAGGTGTTCACTTACCTTATATGAGAAAAGAACAATGGTAAGAGTCTCTTCCGAGAAGATGTTAGGGCACCAATCTACTTTATGGAAGATAACTTACTGCATGCAATTTTTAAGTTACGATAATTATGTGCAGTATTGATGTTACATGTATGTTGTTACAAAAGTTCTTCATTAACTCTCAAGTAACATAGTTTATATAGCAAACAGAGATAAGACTATGCATGCAAATGGCTGCTTACTAGCCTACGTGTAGCTTCACCCTCTGCCCGGCAAAGGAAAAGTGGAAAGAGGGTGTGGCTACATGTGGGCTTGTTGCTTGCAAGAGGTTAAAAACAATGAAAAATTTTTAAATTGTCAGCCTCAAAAAGTGGTCACATTCACTTACAGGAGATGGTTGTTTATGGGAGGTTCCAGCTGTAAAGCTTTGACTGTGAAAGATTTGTTGTTTTGGAGAGAGCAAAGTCTCCTTCGATCTTCCTAGGAAATATCGGGAAGAGGATATTTCCCGTCATTTTGTAGGAAGATCGAAGGAGACTCTGCTCACAGGGTAGGTGCTCGCTTAATATCAGAGGTACTGTTCACAAACAAGAGGTGGTGGCACTGATTGAAGTTTGAGTGTACAACAAATTTGACAAATGTTGTTAGACTGCAAAGATTTAGTAGGTATTTTTTGAATGTCATCAGGATTTACTGGAATGGAGGAAGTGCCAAGGAAAGGCTGGGTGGTATGGAATGCTGGCTATTTTAGTTGGTAAGTTACAAGATCTTTATTTTCAAGATACATTTAAGTTGGTTGTCAGATTGAATGAGAGTTTCCTTTGTCTCTTGTGAATAATTTGGACCAAACTTCTGTCAGTGATGAATTTAGTTGGTTCACTTTGCCCTCATGGGCATTTCCCACCTTTTGTTGACACTATCTACTTCAAAAGAGAAAAGTGAAGATTTCCATCTCCCATCCCCTCTGCTTGAAGAGGCTCACCAATAGTTTTTTTGGGTTTTGTAAGCATACCACTTTTTTATCCCAATAACTAACCTTTAGATCTATATTAAAAAAGGCACTCTTAAAACGTATGTTTGGGAATGGAATGATCCAGCACCAGTAGTAACTGTCAGAATTATGGAGCAGAGCAAAAATTCTGATTCAGATAATGGAATAAATATTGAAGAACCCTATTGGGGACCCTGTAAGCCATGTTTTGTCACTGTCCAGGCTACCTGTAAGAAACAACAGGTACCCCAACTTTGAATGAAAGGCTGGGGGGGGGGGGGGGGGGGGTTTGGACTCTTTTTTTTTTTAAAAGAAGCCCCATTTTGAAAAAATTTTTTTTATACAACAATTTTGTTTTCGTTTTTGGTTTGTTTTGGTTTTGTTGTGAGAAAAGTCAATTTTTTCTAAACATTTTTAATTTTATAAAAAGAATATGAGATAAGATGTGGGCTCCGCTTTTTGTGGGTTTTCGTCCACGGCAGGCACCACAAACAAAAAAGGAACAAAAAACGAGGGGGGGTGGAGGGGGGGGGGGTGGGGGGGGGGGGGGGGGGGGTGGGGTTTAGACTCTTGTGTTCTCTAAAAGATAGCCCATTTTGACAACAGTTTTTCTAATCAGCAACTTTGTCATCGGTTGTAGGTTGTATATGGTTTGGTGTGAGAAAAGGTCAATTTTCCTACAACATGTTCAGTTTAGAGTAGCCTTGAAAGGCCTATTGTGCTCTATGTTGTTAAAAATTTATTATAATAATAATTATTATTGTATTGGTTGTGAACATAACATTTCCAGTTTTGTTATTAATGCATTTTTTAGAACAGCTGGAAATAAGGCATAAAGTCAATGGCAAAATTTGTTTATATGGGGTATAAAATGTTCTTGGGTCAAATATTATACTAATATGATTGTTGTTAGTGGAATTCTGCAATGAAAGTGAATTACATTATTTCATGCCCTAGCTACATGGCCAATGTGTACAGTGCAGCAATGAAATGCTAGCCATTTTAACACCATTGTAGAGTTGGCTATTCTGTACAGGTTTCCTTAGAACAGTAGTAATTAATAATATATGTATGGACTGGTGACTTTTAAAAAAATATTGTGAGTGCTCATTGCATACATGTGATGGTGGCCATTATGTTAGAGGTTCAACTCTGCCTATTGTGACAGTCTAGCTTTCACAAAGTGTTTATGTGTGTGCTTCATTTTACATCTGACAGGAGGTAGTGTGGTGTTTGCTGGGCTTTCTGGTTTCCCCAAATTACCAAAGAAGTATCTTCCATTGGTCTCTCTTGGTATGTTACTTTGGATAAAGATGAGGAGATTTTAGCCAAAGGAATCCTCATATATAGTGATAAGAATAAAAAACAATAGTGTCATTTATGCACTTTCCATGTAACAATAACACAACTCATCAAAAATAGTAAACGTAACAGGATTCAATCATTCAGTCATTCAGTCAATCAATCATTCAATAAATCAATCAATCAGTCAGTCAATTAAGCAATCTATAAACTATCAATCTCTCAAACAAATAATCATTCATTCCGTCAGACAAAGTAATCAGTCTTGCTTGTTGTCATTTCTCAGCTCTATATACTTTTTGTTAGTACCCAGGAAACTTTATACCAGGTTTTTGGTTACATTTCAAAGTGCTAGATTCATAGGTGAAACAAGCGGACATAAGTGATTTGTTTTCACCTAATCATTTAAGAATTGTTAATTATTTGTTGTGAAGGTAGGAACCTGATATTTCAAAGGACTGGACATTATGTCCATTCTCTGGCCTCAGGTAATGTCCCTAAACTTTGTGTTATTTTGTAATTAAGGAGGCTCAAACTTACAGCCGATTTGCATTACTTTCTCACAGGTGTAGGGGCTGGCTGTGGATGGTTTGTCTCATACAGAGTGATAACTTCCTGTCACAGGGACCTCTCTCCAGAAAGAACAGTGGATGGAAAAATTAATCAATTGCCAGGTTTGAAGTCGAACCAGTCTTTAAAATATGAAAGAAAAAGGCCAAAATCCAGCCATCATGATTGAACAAGTTTGATCAGGAAAGAATTCATTGCATGGCAGAAATTAGCCCACTAGTCGAGCTCAAAATTTTTCATGAATGAGAGGGAGATTTTTTAATGTTCTCTACAACAAAACCGAACAAGAGAGTGGTAGCCTGTGAATAGGCTGGACCAAAGGCCTTTTCACAGGCTAAGAGAGTGGGAGCTCTGCTATCAGAACCGGAAGTGAGAAGCGAAAGACTTTGAGAAAGTTAAGGCAGAAATTAAAACTTTCTGTGACTAAAAGCAAACTGTGACTTCAAAGTGCATTTTTTTGGGTTAAAATCCAGAGTCATGTATGTCCTTTTTCAGATTCAACAGAGCAAACCAGTAGTACAAATAAAGTGATCAAAATTGTTTGAAAGTTTTCTAAAATAGGTTAGTTAGGAAGGCTTTTTCTTCCTCGTTCTTTTAACTATATGCAAATGCCCATGATTTTTTGTTTTCATGTCTTTTTTTATATTTATACAGAGAAGAAAAACGACATACTACTGCCTCCCAAGGAAACAAAATATGGAGACAAGGGCTTTGTCAAAGAATGATTTTTGGCGGTGATAAAGCTCTAGTATTGTGTACATAAATAGTTAGAAATGTGAGCTGTTGTGTGAAATATGGATTCGTCTAATTCACTTAACTTTAATATTCATCATTAAATGATGAATATTAAATTATTATATTTTGTTCTTCTTGAAGAATGTTTATATATAAAAAAACATTTTAGATCTATGTGAAAGTGTCAGTTGTCTATCTTTAATAGGAAAATCCTAATTTGGTCGAATGACTCTCGTCAGTCTCAGGTCAACCTGTCTTATTATTATTTTTATTATTATTAGTATTATTGTTATTATTATTATTATTATTATTATTATTATTATTTCTAATTTGCACAGGTGTTTTTTGTCCTGGAAATAACGACATTTTCTACTTTTACTCTGATCCCTTCCCTAGACCATAGACTTAAGGGACCTTTCTCAATTTTGTGGGTGGCTGCTCCAAGAAGTGCAGACTTTTGCAAAGTTCTGTCAGACCCTATTTGGAATTCCAATTTCCTTCGAGTGACCCTTAAAGTTCTTTGGTTTCACTCCTAGAGTTCCCGCAACGAATGGTGTTACTTTTGTCTTCGCCCTCCAAAGTCTAGATATTCCCTTATTGTTATTATTATTATTATTATTATTATTATTATTATTATTATTGTTTAGTTATTTTTCATGACTGTTATTGGAAGGGGATATGGCATTTGCTGCGATCTCTTAGCCTTCAGTGCTCAATAGATCTTACTCTGGATGGAGACATGTCATACTTGTCTCTACGTTACCTTGGCTCTTCCTTTACAAGGAGGAGAAGAGAATGATCATTTCATTCTATGGTTCCTAGGCATTCTCTCTTACCAGGGGCCCATAATCCAGAGGGAGCAACTTTCACGTACTGGTATCACGGCGTTTTCACCCACCCTGGTTTATGCACCTATCAATGTAAACCCCGTGGGGGGGGGGGGGGGGGGGGGGGGGAGGGGGGGGGGGGTTGAAAATGTTAAAATTTTTTGTAAAAATTTCCCGGGGGGGGGAAGAAAAGGGGAAAAAAAA